TATATTATAGTGTTATAAACATGTACTTAATGTTTTTATAAAGTATTGCTAAATGAGGGGACTTCAAAGTAAAGTGTTTCCCCTTTCTCCCTAAAAGTTTTTCCCTAAGTCCTGAAGCTCTTCGGCACGCAGCAAACACGCCGCGTACTCCCCGTTTGCACTGTTAGCTTTTTCCATTTGCGGTTTAACAGTCTATTGCTGGCATTCATTTGATGTGTTTTAAAAGTAAAAAGCAACATTTTTGGCAACAGCTTTGTTGCTAGCAGCCATTTCCAACAGCAGTGTCTAACCAGACTGTACAGTGACAAAGACCTATTGCCTGCAGACAACATAGGAAAAATAGGAAGAATATGAATTATAGTTATATGAGTTTCATCCAACCATATGCATGATTAAGGGGGAAACTAAAATACTTTTGGTTAGGGTGAGGCAATCAGAGGCTGGGCATTTACAGTAGTTGTTACGTGTTATGTTATGTGGAGCCTACAAGAAAATATCTCCTCAGTGGGTGTGAACTCCTTTTTAGCATTACTGGCATCAACCTCCCGGTCCAACCAGCTGAGCGAATTACCCACCATGCACTTCTCCTATTTGCTTGTCTAAAGGCCATTACTGCTGTTCAGAATTTCGTAGAAGGCTTGTGAAAACTCTGCTCGCTGCTTCTCAAATGATTTCCTACAAATTACTGCATCATAAAGTTGCCTTTCATCTTCCGATATCTTTTTGCCCTCTGTGCTCTCGGTTTGTTTTTCTCCCCCTTTCACTCTCTAAATCTCTCATCCTGGCTTTTCTACTTCCCCTCATTCATACGTTAAATACCTCCATCTTTGTAACATTTCTCAAAAATCCTGCTTCTCCTTCTTTCCCCCAGTCCTCGAGACTATAAACCAAAAATGGAATTTGATTAACTGTGGTACTTATTGGGTCTCTTCTAAAACCACTTTCAACACATTCGATTTTTCATGCTATGACATTTGTCACAAGCTTTTACAGTCCTAATAACGGCATTTACCCTCAGACAGCGGAGGCAGGCTGAGAATGACATACGACATGCAGAAAATGTCTGTATTTGCATGTATGAAAACAGTTGGTGCCACGCAGGATAATGTGTTTGTGTTTGCGTGATATCAGACAGCACTCTATCAGTGCGTTTCTCTCCCTGTCTCTGTGCCCAGGAAAACAGTTGGTGGGGCTGGTTCCCTGGGCATCAGCAGAACACGATGCCACCCGCTGACTTTCAAAACACCACCAATCACCAATCAGAAAATCTACATTTTTTATTATTATTTGATAAACAGCATATGACATTGCTTAGTGTTCTGAGAGAGATTTCAAATAGCCTCAGCGTTCATAAATGTAAATTATTTAATCCCTGGAGTAATCACAACACAGTAATTTGATGCAGCGTTTTTATGATAAAACTTTTACAATCATCCTTGAGGACAAAAAAAAGGACTTTTTTTTTTTTTTAAATGATTTCTATTTTTTCTCTCTGCTATTCTCAGTGGCTTTCCCTTCGTCATTTTTCATCACAGCCACAAAATAGTACAACATAAATTGCTGCCACAAAGTCTATCTTTTGTCCCCCATCTCTCTCTCTTTCTCCCTCGTTCTTTCACCATGGTGGAATCTCCTCTGTTGTAATTGCCAGTATGTTTGATGGAGTGTTTCCGTCAGTGTTTGCCCGATAGCTCATCTATATATACATGCACACACTGACACACAAACAATCCCATTCACATTACGTATGTGTGCTCACCGAATGCAAACGTTGACACCCACAGGGACAGATATAAATGGGCTCAAACAAGTAGAATAAAAAATTAAAAAATAAACTTTTATTCTGCTCCATCTTTGGGAACCGTGGAGTGTGTTCCTCTGAGCACCCATTTTGATAGAAAAACACACAAATAGTCAAACAGTTGCAAATTACTGTCAGTTTGCCCCCAATCTTTACCTCCATTTCTCCACCTTGTCCTAGCTCTTCCTGATGTATTCACTTCCCTCTGCTCTCTGATGGTCTCTTTATTTTAGATTTTCTCCTTTCCTTCACTTTTCTCTTTGAAGAAACATGATTGACAGCATATATTTATTTTGCCTCTCCACACTGTCATTTGTACCTTTCTTCCATCTATCCTGCTATCCCCTTATTATTCCATTTATTTCAACTTCCATCTTTCCATCCATACTTCTTGCTTCTTGTCTTCTCTCCATCCCACCCTCCATTTCTTTCTACCTCTTTCCTCCATCACTCCTTTCATCGCCTCATCTGGCTCCATTTCTCCACAGAGAATCTGCCTGCCCTCCCAGAGTGATCCCGTTAGAGGGCTAATGCTGTGAAAAATGACAGCGAACCGCCACTTTTGCCGCCATCACCACCGCTTTGGGGCCGCCTGCTGCCTACAGCCCTGTTGCCTGGCAACTCCCCAGACAGCTTCCCTCCGAACGGCGCTGTCTGCTCTGCTGCGATAGACTCCCGAGCCTAATAAGCATTATATCTCATTTTGTCTTATCATTTTGTTGTTAGTGACACAAGTTTGCTCGGAGCTGCGACTTTGCAAAGAGCACTGATGCAGAATGTGCCTCTCATATCGAATGAACAGAATAATTTAGCAACAAGTGTGACTCCTCGAAGCATTGTTGTTTGAATAACAGATTGCTCAGCCAAAAAACGTGACCTTAAATATACAGAAATGACGAAGATGCAGACGATGCTGTAAAGCCGTTCAGTGGAAACAAACAATTAACATTAAGGTCTGACCTAGTATGAAAAAGGTTATCGCCTGAACGGAGAGATGAACTCACCAATGTTATATTCCATGTTTGAAAAGGGCTTTAGTCTTTTCTTCCATGAATGTAGGAAAGGCAAAGGGAGCGGGGCCTGTTTTTGTAGAGTGTCATCTTCCACGCTACTTCAGTCAGCAGTGACCAGCAGTTTGCAGAACGATTGTCTGTATTGCAAACATCTATCACTTCCTGTGACAAGAGATGATCCATGCCCAGAGACTTTGCCAAACCAGGGCATCTTATGCATAACTCCTGATTTTCTCTTGCTCAGTGCAAACACATTTCTAAGTTTGAAAGCATTTTATGAAGAAATTACCCGTAGCTGTATGATGGAAATACCATGCTTGAGTCTCACGTTCCATTTTCTATACTGCGTCAACTAATTGTGGTTCTTTTTCAAATATAAAAAAAGCCAGTCTGTGCGTCATCTCCTGCCCCACTTTCCTGCGTTTCCACCTCCTTGATGGCTTTTAAAGCAGAAACACTGCTCTGCCAGTTCTTCACCGTCATGTTAACAATATTCCAGTGATCGAGTTCCAGATATGAGTGACATGAGTCACACAGTTGCCACGGAAATTCTCAAGGGGTTACATGAGTGCTTTGACAAAGTGTGTGAACTCACTGCCACCGAAGCAATCCTCGCTTTATAATGTGTTTCTGTTTTGAGACATCAGAGGTTATGAGGATCTTCGGCAGATGGTGGGAAAGTTGACTCTACATCTGAGTTGTAGGGGGTTCCGCCTGCCACGTTGTCGTCGCGGTGTCTTTTTAACAAACAGCGTGTGATGTGTTCTGCATAAGTAATCCTTTGTGGGATTGAATGTTGAAAGCAAAAGACAGCAAGTGCAAGCAGGAATGAGGAACACTGTGTGGAAGTTGTATTTCCAAGGCGGAGACATGGGAATTAAACCGAGAGAACTGTACAATGATACAACACTTCAAAGATATCCAGAAATGATACGGTATGGCCACTTTTCTGTTCCTCTCTGTTGGGTGAATCACTGCAGCTTTTTAAGCACCAATTTCCCATTTTAAGTGATCATTCTATAGAAAACCACTCATTTAAATCCATCAAGGTCCATTAATGGGAGCTGAATGGAGAATATGGGGGTCAAAGGGACTAGTGGAAGTGGATTTTGCAGCCGAAGAGGGATGTGTATGTGTAGGTGTGTATTTATTTTGTGTTGTCACAGAGACACATTTAACAAAGTGCATTCTCAGCGTAGTATGTGTGGGGAGTGACGACCACAACAAAGCTCACATTTCAGTATAATTCCTTTCTCCTCATCTTGCTTTCTGCCTTAAAGGACTTTCCTTATGAACTGAATTTCTGCAAATCAAAGACTTTGATGTAGATGCGTGTACACAAATACACACAAGCACCATCTGATGAGCCATTAGACATGTCTTACTGTAAATAAGCCTGAAGACACACACACACGCACACACACGCACCTAGCAAGCAGCATGGCATCATGCCCAGCCTTGCCCCAGGTGTCTCAGCGTTGATATATTGGTGTGGCCTCAGATGAATCCATGCAGGCCAGACTAATGCTCTTATTAAAAGTTTTTTAAAGCCCAGCCTAACAGAGAGAGTGAGAAAGAGAGAGGAGAGGTGACGTGTTTTAGCATATTAATATCCACCTCAGGTGCTAATTTCCCCCGTAAGTCACACGTGTCACCAGCTGTTATGGAAGACAGTGGAAATGAAAAGACAGCTAAATAAATAGAGAGACTGGGTCGACTGAGTGAGGAACAAGAATAAAAAGAGGAGGTGTAAATCACATTAATGAATAAGCCTCATTAGTCGTGCCCATTAGTGTCCTTAGCATGGATTCATTTAACTTCAGCCGACATTGGAGAAGCCCAGTGGCCATGATAGGACGCGGTTTGATTACACAGCTGAATGTTTGATCAGTGACACCGTCATTCTGACTAGCAGCAGACAGTCCGTGTAGCTTCTGTCCTTGAATGTGAAATTACAACACCTGCAAAGAGAAAAACAAATGTGGAAACATTTGCCTCCTGAGGATTTCTTCCTTTTCTCAGCTGTTTTACTGCTCCGCAAAGAAATGCTGCCTGTTCCACTGTGGACTGCCTGTCCACTTTGCACTTTTTTGTTCACCTGCCTTTGTTTTTCAAAAACAAATAAATTACTTTTTGGAGGTTTGTACTAAATACTCCTCCTCTCGATGTGTTTGTGTTGTCAACAGGCGGACCCCCAAGGCCGAGACATAGCCATCCGTCCCTTCTTGGAGCACTGTGAGAACACCCACATGACCATTTGGCTGGGCATCGTTTACGCCTACAAGGGGCTGCTAATGGTGAGAGGAAAGGGTTAACCTTTCATCATGTACTCACAGTCTGTACACACACATTTACACAATGAATGTAATCAATGTGTACTTCCCAAAAATGTCAAACTATTCCTTTACATTGTTGTGATATCAGTTTAGTGTTGTTGCTTAACTGACCTTTGCTTTAACTCCTACTAATCTAATGCTAATAGCAAGGGCATTGGAAATTAGCAGTAGCTATAAAGGCTCTGACACATTGTATTGGATAATTGTTGAGCAATTTTCTATGTATACTGTATAAGTCTCTTTCAAAATAAACATGAATTAATTAATTTGAAAAAATACAATCAAAAAAAGTTAAAAGACGGAGAGATCAAATTGTAGGGTAACAAGTAGGAGGGGCTTTGCTGTAAAATAATAAGACGGCAACAAAGAAGTTGAGCAGCAGGAAAAGTTTGTATCAAGTGATTGACAGGAGTCCACATCTGTATGAGGCATACAGATGTGGATACGGACAGCGCAGTAAAAAGAAGCATTAAGGCTTGAGTCATCCCTGCCTTCGCAGACACACAAACAAATACCCACACACACACACACAGTCTCACATATGAATGCATACACGTGCACATCACCACCACTTCACGTTCGCGTACACATGCTCACACACCTGAGATCCACTAATCCTTGATGACTGCTCCTGTAAATCTGCTGCTTGTCATTCCGCTAACTCTCATTTAGACTTTAGGATAAGCAGGCTGGCCAATTTACACAGCACACAGTGAATTATTCAGCAGACTGCTGCTGCTGCAACTTTAATGTTCCACAAAACAAACGCTCTAAATAAACATTTCACAAGCATGAAACCAAAGGCTGCTTTAGAAAGATGTTCTTCAGATAGTTTTCCTCCTCTTTAAGGCATTCTAATGATTCTAATGATTTTTTTTTGACTGTTTAAATGTTTCTTAACACTAAATCAAATAAGATTAAATGTTTCTCGGCACTCCATTTATGAAGAACAATAAAGAGCAGTGTCCAACAAACAACATTAAGATGAATACGACATATTTTATTCTGGAAAAACAAAAAACTGCAGAGCTTTAAAAAGTGAGGATGACGAAACTTTTGATTAACTGTGTGCGCATTGCCCCAGAGATACTGCCTGCAGTTGTTGTTTTTAAAAAGTCAGTTTAACCTTCTCTCAAACATGTTTTAACAAAAACAAATATTACTTTTCCTCTCTTTTCCCCGACAGTTATTTGGCTGTTTCTTGGCATGGGAGACCAGGAACGTGAGCATCCCTGCTCTCAATGACAGCAAATACATTGGGATGAGTGTTTACAACGTGGGCATCATGTGCATCATCGGCGCTGCGGTGTCTTTTCTTACAAGGGACCAGCCCAATGTCCAGTTCTGCATTGTGGCACTGGTGATCATATTTTGCAGCACCATCACGCTCTGTCTGGTCTTTGTTCCCAAGGTCAGTTTATTTGTGTGTGTGTGTGTGTGTGTGTGTGTGAGTGAGCAAGGAGAGTGTGTATGAGCAGACCTGGTTAACTCAAAAACTGGAGTGCTTAATTATCACCAGATTCACACACCACACTTCACTAAATCCTGTGTCCTAAACTTTCAGCGTAAACAGTTATGTGTAGCTTTTTTTGCCCATGTAATTCTATAACAGACCCTAACTCTAACTCTGACTAATACCCCGAAACCCTTCTTCCAGTTAATCACCATGAGGACCAACCCAGACGCAGCCACCCAGAACCGCAGGTTAAACTTCACCCAGAACCAGAAGAAGGAAGACTCCAAGACCTCCACCTCAGTCACCAGCGTCAACCAGGCTAACACTTCGCGACTGGACGGGCTTCAAACTGATAACCACCGCCTCCGCATGAGGATAACAGAGGTCTGACCCGATGAATACACATTCATGTTCATACATGTCATTTTTTTTCATTGATGGTCATGATTTTACAAGACAAGACGCCGGTGCAGTGGGTGTCAGGGTTTTTAATGCAATCACTGGATAAGAAGAAGCTTTTGAATGTAATTGAAGAAACAGTAACTGAGCACAAGTTGTACAAGAACTCTGAGAGAGATGCTGTTATCTCTGTAACATCCACACTGTACCTTCTCTCTGATTCATTTCCTTAACATGTTCACTGACATTGAGTGACAAAAAAACAATCACCTTGGCTTTTCTTATCAGCTCTCTCAGAGGTGAATTACTGCTGTTATCATTGCTTTTGTTCATGATTGTTTTAAATGAGGAGCTACTCAGACACGAGTAAGGACACGTAAAATGATTAAGTCTTTGGCAGGCAGAAGTCTTTTCCCTTCTTCCCTGTGTTTTGAAATGAAAATAAGTTATCCATAGAGCCACACTGGGTAATGTTTGGCTGATAACCATGTAGCCTACTTCAGCTAGGTTGTCTTTGAATGATTTCTGCAAACTTGATGTAATTAAAGATGGTTCAGTTTATGATAATAATGGACTCACTCTACTTTTACCCACTTGAAAAAAAACATAAACCAATATTTTCTTTGTTTTTCCTGTTTTATAGCTGGATAAAGAGCTGGAAGAAGTGACCATGCAGCTGCAGGACACCCCAGAGAAAACTCCCTACATCAAACAGAACCATTACCCGGATGCCAACAACATCCTCAGCATACGCAACTTCACAGACGCTAAAGGTAAGAAACCGGCTGTATGTTTCCATATAGCCCTATCGCAGTCATGTTGAGGCATCAGTGTGACACCACCCATTTTAGGCATTCAGTACTTACGAAGCAAATGGAAAAATTAACCGATACCAATACTGATATCGTATATCGGTCCGATACTGACTCAAATAGCTGGATTAATAGGCCGATCTGGTACTTGATACCATTATTTTAATAAATAACAATCCAGTACATTTCTATGTATGTATTTATTTGTTACATTTTGTTGTATAAAGTTAGAAAAGTCAAGTTTAAGTCAAGTCTGATGTTGTTTTATACATAAAAGATTGATCTCAGTCTCTTCCACACAGTGAGGCATTCAGCTTATTGATCAGACACTGGTATCGGATCTTACTTTGTATCGGCAGATACCTAAAGCCCAGGAATCGTATCAGTATAGAGACCGAAGAAGTCAGATCTGTTCAATCCTAATAGTTAATCCCCCTGTGGTCCTCGTTGGATCGATCGCTTTAACAACTGAGGAACAGCTGTTGCATGTGTTGATGCCAGACGCAGTCGTCAACTAGGTGGAGTGGGCAGATTCAAAGGTCTAGTCCCAGGCAATGAATAGATGAATAGAAAGATACAATCTCACAAAGACCATCCGGAGAAACAGCGTTGATGTTTGGTGGGCGTGAAGTAACAAACACATCACTTACTCTCACGATGTGTTGATGCTCTCCATTACAATCAATACAACCCATGTAAAATCCAACATGATGTATCTTTTCTTCTTCACTAACTGACTGGAGCTGCTCAGATGGCTTGTTTAATTAATGCTGCTTCTGGTGGCTGAAACTAGATTGCAGCAGTCTGTATAGACCAAGATAAAACCAAGAATGAGCAGCTCAGTAAGATGCAACTCAGTCCTGTCTCGCCTCATTTCAGCGTGATTCAGTCTGATGCAATTTAATATAAAGTCATATTTATAGCCGTAATGAGGTGTTTCACGTTATTTATGCAGGTACGTTTGCATATTCGGTGGCTTTCGGGAAGGATTTTAACGCGGCTTTCAGAGCAGCGGCTTGAAATAATATCGTGAATTTTTTATTATTTTTTCCCATTGCTGGAGCTCCTGTCAGCTGCATGTGAAGAAGGGACACATGAGTACTCTGCCTGACAGCAAGTCTGTGACGTTTCTTGGGATAAGTCATAAGATTAGTTAGAGTACCTGCATACTCCACTGCTGCTTAGCAAGTTTTACACACACTGTAGTCACACTTCTCTCCCACCGCTTATTATTAAGCCCAAAGTGAGTCCACACTTGATTTTGCACCTAATTATTTGGTGTGTGGGATGTTGTTTGCTGTGTGTTGAACAATGTACTTGAGAGAAGATTAAAGAAGGGAGGAGGGGTCAGTTAAGGTGAACCATAATTGGGTGAGACAAGCAAAGGGAAACACAAGGAGTAAAACATCTAAAATTTAAAGGTACGTGTCATATCCCTCTTTTCCAGAGCTTGTGTCATTCACCCTCCTAAGTTCTGCCCGATACAGGCTATTTGAATTGATGCAGCTGTATCTTAGACATTGTGAAGTCGAGGTCATCAAATTGAATCAGTGAATCTTTACACCCCAGCAGCATCGCTTTGCATTAGGCACCATTTTAGCAGACGCAGGGTGATGGTGACGTGACGTACAGCGGCCAGTTTCAGCACATCGGATGCACACGCCAGCACGAAGCTGGTCTCAAGGAATGGATTTGTCTGAGTTTGGGAAGGTAAAACAGTAAAACAGCTGCGCTCATTCTGCAGATTGGGAGCAGACGTTGGAACTGTTTGAGAAGTTTCTCATCTGTGAAAGTTCACTGTTACGCAATGAACTGATGGCAGTTAGTTAGTACATTCACCAGGCAACGTGTCAAATGCCTCTTCTTTGTGTTGTAGTTTGTTCTCTGCTTCCTTCTGTTCCTCCTCCTTCTCTGCCTGACACATCCTCCTGTCTTAGCCTTGTTAGGTACCCTTACAAGGATTGATCTGAACTAAAAATATGTGTGTTGTGGCACAATTGGTCGATGGAGCGGCTCAGTGTTGTCTTTTTATGGAACGCAGAGAGCTAGAAGTCAGTGCCAAGATTATTTTTGATTAGTAGATAATTAGTAAATGAGCTACCATCTGTGCAATTTTTTTGATTGTCTTCTGAACCAGAATACTGCATCAAATTTTGTAAGTTTGATATTTTGGTTTTTCAGCCGTGTATCAGGGTTCAAATGTATATTGAATCATATTTCCATTCCTCAGAAAAAAAAGAAAGATTGTGTCGTATTACCTGAAAATATTTGTCTTGCATTATTTAAACGAAGACATTCTGACATTTTTCATTTGTTGAAAATAATCTCTCTAAAGTCCTCGCAGCAGCTGGCGGCTGATATCAGGCTTAATTTGAGTTTACTCAAAATGTCTAATTGTTTGGGCTCATAGCGATACATTTATTTTAGACTAACTCTGTGTATGCACTGTCCTGGTTAGTTTGTCAGGAAGAGAACGGAGACACTTTTTTGTACAAATATTCGTTTACGGACATATTTTTATAGAAAAAAACTATAATCTGTATTTGTCTTCTCAAAATTTGAGTCTGATTACTAAATACAGTCATATTTAAAAACCTGTGTTGAGTAAAGTAACAAATATCTCTCCCATTCCCACCAGCTGGAGTTGGTAGCAACAATTGTGAATCAGTCATTTTTAAATTGAAATACAGTAGCTGATTTCTGGAGTGCACACGCCTTCCAAAAATAAATTTCACTTCTTTGAAAGGATTAGACAGCCATCAACTATTATTTCCCTCAGCAGGGAAAACATGCTGATGCTGGTAGAGAAATGATCCGTTTGCCTCTTGGGGCATAGGGATCAGATACAATGAAGCAGCAAAAGTGGGCTGTCTTATTAATTTATATCGGCATATTCCTGCTCCTGTCAAGTTTTAAAACTGACAGATGAATTAAAACTTAGTAGAGCCACAGCTCTCTCAAAGCAAGACTCTCATATTTAGCGATAGACCGACCTTGCTATTACTTTTTACTCACACAGAGAAGTCTAGGTTGCTGAAGTGTTCACGATAACGATCTTGTGAGGAGAGAAGGAGAACGAGAGATCAGACGAAGAGAGACAGCACATTAGATGCTGCTCAGAATTGTCAATCTGACATTATGGAAATAAAATCACAGGTCATTAAGCCTCCTTCAAAGATCACCAGCATTATAATCTTTGCCTCAATCTGCTTGTGCTTGGCAGTCATCATCATCATCATCATCATCATCATCGCCGGGCTCCGAACTGCAGTCATCAGTATTCATAAGAGAGCTGGTCTAAATGTATTGAGGTCCGTGAATGAGTGGCTGTTATAAGTGTAGAACGCCATGTCAGCAGCGATTACCCTCACTGAGAAGCCACACTTCACGTCTCCCTCTATCTCTCTGTCTGTCTATCTTCATGATGGAGAAAACCTGTGGGTGACAGTTCAGGTGTAGTTTTCTGACGGATTAGCTGCTGAGAACGGATCCATAAAGAAGTGTATAAATATGTGTGTGTGTGTGTGTGTGTGCTTTTAACACAGCTCTGAGTACTACAAGGTTAGGCTTCTTTTTTTAATACAAAGAGGACTAGTCTGCTTAAAAATAGTTCAGCGAGCTCAAAGGTCCATGGAGTGCTGTGATCAGTGAATCAGGTCAGCAGGTGCTGGGAAATCTGGGACAACTGGAGAGAAAACTCTGCAGGGGGAAAGAAATTGTCCCATTACTCTCCAGGTACATTTATTTTTTTTAACTGATAAGGCTGTTTACTACAATTCTTATTGTGTTTCAACCTCGTCGGCCCCCACAACATCCGGAGCGAAGAATGCAGAAATCAATGTTGGGAAGCCTTTTCTTGTGTCCTTTCTGCCTTCCTCTCTGGATAAGGGTTCTTTCTTTTCTATCTCACTTTGATGCTTTCTTTCTCTTTGCACCCGTTTCCACTTTTTGAATTTGTTCCAAACTGGTGTAAGTTTTAGTTTTTACCTGGGCTTTAATATCACCCTGCATATGTGATAGATTATCTGTTTTCCTTTTTGGAAAAAAGAAGCTGATAGTACAGTCAGTTGACAGACACGGTTGATGACATATTGGCAGGTCACTATTATGAACAACACAAAGGTGTCTTCACATTTGAGCTTATTGATGGTTTTTGTTTTTTTACAAACAAAGAGGACTCTTTACTTCATTGCAAGACCAGTCGTGACCAGAACTGCAGGGATGTCACTAAATTGGATTATCGGATTTATTTTGTTATTATTATTATTACTGGGATTGCTTATAGAAAACAAATGAAAATTCAACAAGTAAAATTCATCTTTTGGATTGCACTATTTTATCAAGACATTTCCTATGCATACATATAGTATATTTGGTAATTAAGAGGTGAATGAAGAGGAAGCTTCATTTGTTTTCTATGGGATTGTGGATGAATTTGAGGAGTGAGGAGTATATGGTTTGTGTGTTGCAGTGGTCTGGTCTGGTCTGGTCTGGTCTTGGTCTTGACTTGGTCCCCACCCCTCAAAGTATTTGTCTCGTCTTGGTCTTGATACACTCTGGTCTTAGTCAAGACTTGGTCTTTGTTAAGGTGCTCTTGACGACAACTTTCTTTGGTTTGCAAGAGTGAGTTTATCTTTGTGGTGTGAATGAACTGTGCAGCGACACATGTGCATTGACAATAACCCTTCTCAAACCAGGGAATTGATTCATTTTTTTGGTAATGTTGGAATATTAACATGCCATGCTCCCAGGATTTACAGATTGTTATTGCTTTTGCATGGCATCAGGATCAGTGTAACAGCATAAGTAACAGAAACCCCCTTCCATGCGCATGACTACCCAACCTCCTAAATAAACCAATGACTCAGGTATTCGGTCCACAGGCTGGTCTCAACAACTCCCTTAAAGTCATGTCCCAGATCCCTGGCACATGCAAAGTCCAGCATTTGAGCAGTTAAGGATGACAGCCCATTTCACACGGCCTATCATAGTTTTTACAAACCTACATGTGTTTTCAATGCAGATGGAGAGAAGTCGATACTGAAGAATCACCTGGAGCAGAAGCCTCAGGCGCAGTGGGGCTCCATGGATCCTTCCAGAATAAACAGAGGTCCTCTGGAGGATATCAACTCGCCCGAACAGTGAGCTCTTCTATTTCTTCAGCACCTCTACCCCCATGTCCCTCTCGCCGTCTTGTCAGCTTTTTCATCAGACTACACATCACACGTATCGCAACCACCAGCAGTTCTCAGGCGGTTGCTCTGGCAACAGAGCCCTGCGAAAGCATGGACCGGTCCTGCACTTTTCTCTCCCGCGCACATCAACATACGTATAACCAAATAGTGTGTATGTCTATTGTCCCACCACGCTAGACTTACTGCAGCACATACTGTATAGTCACAGTCAAACACGTACAAAAACACACACGTGTGCTTGTACAGTGTGCATGCGTTTACATGCAGTTGATTGGTTTGTTGTCCCGACTTGTAAGAGAAGATGGTCTGAGACACTTGTGACAAATGCTGATCTACATTCACTCACTATTCATTAGGAAGCAAAGTAGAGGTTGACTTCATCAATGGAGGGGGGGGGGGGTACTTCATGCTTCATTGAGAGCTCTCCCTCCCACACTTGTTTAACTAGACCCAGGAGAAGAATGCGTAACATAGAGGGACAGATGAATGGAAATGAATGGGAGAGGCAGCAGACAAGGTGGGGGTAAAATATTGTAGAGAGGGCAGTTACAGTAAGAAGGTGGATAAAGACAGAAGGATGTTTAGATAGGAAAGAGAGACAGAGATGAAGATGAGAAGGCGGAGAGAGAAAGAAAGAGGTAGAGACTCACAGAGGCTTATGTAACCAGTGATTTACAGTTCGCATTGGAAGCAGCTCTGAAAATAGACAGGGAGGAGAAGTAAAGGAACACTTGGAGCTATTCCCGTGCCGCATAAATGTTTGATCACATAGAGGGAAGAGAGACAAAGAGGCAGCGAGCGAGACAAGAAGAGATAAAGAAGTGAGAAAGGAGGTATGGGAAGAGTAAAGACAGAGGACCACAAATGGTCAGACTTTGTGACATGACGAATGCTACCGAAAGTCACACATCAGGTGCATAATGTTGTTTCTGTGTGATATTATACATCAAAAAATGATGTCATTTATGAGAAAAGTGTTTCCATCACAAGTAGAAACAGGTCAGGACAACTGACTAGGCCCATTAATATTAACAAAATTCACCTAATTACAACTTTTCTCTCGGTCGATCACTGATTGAGCTTGGATTTCATTACCCCCTCTTAATTTTTTACATAACTGCCATTTTGGTTATGTAATCTTCTTGCGACCCGCTGGCAGTGGCGCTAGGTGAGAACTGTCACAGCAGGCGGAAGCATGAAATGTTCTTTTTGTCAGATGATCCCAGAAGCTGAGAGGCATAGCGGATTAGAGGTTTAGTAAGGAGAAGTGGAGAAGGGACTGAGGGTGCTAAAGAATACAGGAAAAACAATTGGAAAACATCCTGAGGTCTTTATGAACTATGCTCTGCCTGTCTGTTGTGATCCACCTTTTATATGTTACTGTAAATGATCATTCCTGACCATTTTTACTGCCATTTCCACATCCCCTTATAATAACTTGAATAGGTTAACCAGCCATTTTGAAGAGATAAACGTTTGATAACTCCAAATAAATGCATTTGCGCAGTCATTTGTTTTGTTTCGTCTCATCAGTTAAACAAAAGTAGTTAAAAGTAGCCAATTGTCAGAACAATACAAACGTTCAGTTTCATGTGGCTCAAAGGTGTACCGCAGATATAAATGTTAAATAAAACAAGTTCAAATCGTATTTGACGGCCCTAATAAATTCACTTGCGACCCATTTGTGGGTGCGGACCCAGTCTTTGGGAGAGACTGCGGTAGGGTTATGTAATTTATAGTTAATATATGTAGATAATATACGTAAATGTAAAATCTAATCCAATGTCCCAAATAATTACATTCATATTGGATTTTGGAGTACTTTTACATTAAAAGTGTTCTCTGCCGATGCAGCAAGTTGTGTGACCTTAGATGTGGAGGTCAGAGTGGTGGGTGGGAGTGTAGGGCTTCCAGCTTTTATGCCAAGGACCAAAGTTTCTAGTAAAAATTAAAAAAATCATGTGAAGTACCCCAAAATTATACTTCCATGTATTTGAGTAAATGTACTTAATTACTCTCTATCTCTGTCTGTCACATTGTAACTTTCCTTTTCTGTCTGCAGCATACAGCGTCGACTGTCCTTGCAGCTTCCCATCCTGCACCATGCCTACTTACCTTCCATAGGAGGGGTTGATGCCAGCTGCACCAGCCCCAACGGCAGCCCTGGTTCCAGCCCACGGCACAGACACATGCCCCCCTCCTACCGGGTAATGGTCTCTGGCCTGTGAGCTTCATTCACTCCCCCACCTGGCTCTTTGCAGAGGAGACGTGTATGGTTCCTTTTTTTCTACAAAAATAGACTGATATCATCAGCGTATGTGCGTATTTTGTCTCGGAACAAGGAGGACAAGGGGAGAAGAGGGGGAGGGGGGCCGAGTATCACTCTTCGTACCTCTTCACCCCAGCCTCTCTTGAGAACTGAAACCCTCAGTCAGGAAAGGGGTGGGAGGAGACAGAGTGGGCACTGGATGACTCTTACAAACTCCCATGATTCACAGCAATGTCCCCGTGTTCATCTGCTCCCCTTGCCTAGGAAAATACACATATGCACAGTCAAACAAACACAAAAACACTCAAATACACACACAACCACAGACACACTGATACACCTATAGCGGAACAGTGGTGGACTAGCCCTGACCTGACGTGTAGCCTTATCTGCTTCAGAGGGGATTGTCTGTTTCTGTTCCTTATCTGTTGTATGAATGTGCTCGTGGCTACGTTTGAGCTTGTCATCTAACTTGAGTATTTCACTGCTTCAGTGACTGGATACCAGTGTGGAGACATGGATTTTACAAAAACCCAACAAAGGAAATCATCCAATATACTCCCCGTCCCCTTCCCGTTCTTGTGGAGACATGTATATATCATCATTTCTGACTTTGATGTACTGTAAGCTTTGTATATGCTGTGAATGGACAATTAAAGGGGTTCTAAATGTAGAGCGTGTAACAGAAGCAGGTGATCATGACATGGAACCCTACAAAGAATTAGAGATGCGTATGAAAGAGATCTGAATTGATTTGTGTAATTGTTGATAATTTAGATTATGGGCAGCAAAGTAAGAAACATCAAAGCTTGTGAGTCACAGAACATGAAAAGGCACCAGGGGCCCGTTCATCTTAACTTGGAGGAAGACGCACATGGCTCTTTTTTCCATTTCGCTAAATTTGCACCACTGGTTTCATCAGAGTTTTCACATCAGACTTTGCATAAGCCTTTAATATTTTACAATTTGCTTAATATGTCCTCAGAAAGCATGTTATACAGAATATTGATGCTATGCCTTTTAACAGGTCTCCAAGGCTGCATATATGAGAAAATAGAGCTAAAAGGCACCAAAAGAGTGTTCCACAGTTGTTATTTATGTGTGTTTTATGCCAAGAAATGCACACATTTAGATCAAAACGTAAGAGAGCACCTTATGACTTCAGCTGCTTTTCAGACAAGGCATTAGTGACAGGCCTGGTCATATTGATCCCCACAGAGTGGTCTCCGTAGACTGTTAAGATGTCCGTCTGATCTAGCCCTCACAGCTAACCAGCACAGACAGGGGCGGTGGCTTCATGTCAATGGGCAAAAGGGCACAATTACTTTTTTGGAAGAAATAACATTCAAGAGGTGATGTTGGAAAGGATGTAGGTCTACCACCTCCACAACTAGTTGGGATTAAATGGTTGACCTGAATTTCCACGAGCAGTAGTAAAGACAATGGAGACATGGGCGGGAGCCTTGTGTGATAAGCCCCAAAGGGCTGTAGCTTTCAGTTCCAAGACGGCGATGATACAACTGCTGGTCACATTGATGTCATTGAATGTGACATTAATGTCACATTCAGTGTCAAGAAAAATCACTTCACACTTAGCAACAGTGAACATACCTCAGTTGCTATGGAAATGTAATTCAGTGCTGTTGAACTGGGCCCAAGAAGGATGCACTGAGCAAAACGTTTATCGACACGGGAGAAAAGCAAACAGAGACTCCGGACAAAGAAAATGACTTTTTATGGAGTGCAAGATGGTTGTTCTTAGCATATGTTTCACCATTGGTGTCTTGGTTTTTAGTTGTTAAGGCGTTTGTTGAACGCTGTGCCTGTTGTCTTATATTGTAGCCTGCAGGACCCACGGTACATAAATTAGGTGAATTTGGCGCTGACCCAGCAAACTACAACATTGGCCACACATCTGTAAACTGTACAACGTGTCATAGATTTCTTTAAATTAAATTGCCTCAACTTGGTGAAAGCTCCACTTCAGCTGGAGTGGATTTCCTCTGCAAGTTGATGTCTGATCATAAACACTGTCTTTTAGTTAAAAAGGCCAGTCAAGGACACACAATTGGAGTGGGAGACAAGCTAGCAGAGAGCCGCCTGCTATTGGACATATCAGGGTGACTTCCCGTGAGAGCTCCTCCCCTTCCAGCCCCTGCTGAGCACAGGAGCAGGGAAGCCCCGAGCACAGACCTCCAAGGAGTCACGGTGTCTCCCTCATCGTTGCCAATTAGAGAATCACGGTCACCGGACAAGTGAGTGAGAGACATTGCCAGAGGGTTGGTTCTTCCTTCAGGAGAAGAAAACCAACTGCACATTTTATATATTACATTATATGTGATTGTGTACAATTTGCTGATGCCCCCATGATGGTGTCCATGTATGGAATATTTGGTATTTGGCTTTCTCAAGACGGCATGAAATGAAATGTATAATTCACAGAGTTACCTCTGTTTTTGCAACTGTCGTGACAAATCCACTCTGTCGTTTTCATCTTCTCACCTACAGTTTAGATTTTCTTTCGTTTACTTAAAAAAAAATCATGGATTTAAGTTCTTTTAACCTGTTGATCAGCTCACACATGTCAATGCCAAGATTCTCAGTGGACTCAACATCATCGTATCGACTATGCTACTGGTTTAGCAGTTATTCACTGAGGGCAATAAAGTGAAAGTAGCAGCAAACGATCAATCCTAATAACCCACTCCTGGCATTTAGCAAATTACAAAATTACTTTTTTTAGTTAATCTAAAATGCCAAATGCAGATCATCAGGTATTGTTTTTTTTAGTTGTTTTTTTAGATGCGCCCTGATTTATTTATTTTTTGTTAGGATTCATTTCAAACTTTTTGGATGAAAAACGGATGAAACATTGTTCAAATGCAATTATGGTAGGTCAAGGGCTCATAATTTCCTGTAATCAATAACGTCATGCCAATGGTTTGTATTTGCCACATGTCTTTCTACCTTTTCAGTTTGCAGATCAAAGTGACATATACGTATATAATTATATCTTTGTATGTGTCATTATCAGGGTTTCTGGAGAACACGAAACATACATGTCCAAAAATATAACAATATGACGTATATATTTAGTGGAAAAAACACACAGGTCCATACTGTTACTGTTTTGTCAGTTTGATATGTGGTATCACATGGAGATAAGTTCAATTAAAGAGTACAAAAACGAAAAAACAAAACCTAGGTTTAATGCAACATGTTCAAGAGGGGCAATAACTTGTTTTCTTATTACAGAAAGAATAGAAAACTATATATATATATGTATATGTAAAGTTCTTTACGTACATTCTCATTTTTACATAGGAAATATTTCACTAATATGCCACAATGATACTTGGTCTTTTTTTTTTTTTTTTTTTACAGTATCTGTAACTATGTTATGTACAGATGAGGTATAGATGTGAAAAAGTTGTATAAAATAAGTATCACACTTGGAACACCTGAACATTTTTTGGAGCCATTAGTTGTTATCGGGGGATTTGAATAACATTCTTCTTTTATTGTCTGAATGTTATGGACAGCCTTTACTTTTCACATCATCGTTAAATAAAGTGAGACTGAAAATAATCTTTGATGTAATAGAATCCTTCCTGTCGTTCTCCATAGTGTGTTTGCATTCATAATGTTGATCCGCACGCAGTCGATCAATGAAGAAGTCAGTCCACAATTTGCTTTTTTTCAAGTTGCTTAAGGTGGAATCGGCTAAATGTCACTCTTTAGTACCATCTAGTGGCAGCGTTAAGAAACACATTCGTAATCTTCCCCACAATTTACCTTAGAAGTTTTCCACCTGTTCGCTAACTGCTTTAATGCTTCAAAGAGAAGCAGAGATCCACCCATAGAAATAGAATGAGAGTGGATTGGACGTTGTACTTTTTGCCGTCTTCATTTGACTAGTTCAAAAGAAAATGGCGGTTGCTGTAAATTGCTATGTAGACAACACACATCAGTGGGGTTTGAGATCTCCAATTTGATGATATAACAACATAAATAAGAAGCGATTAAACTTCAACAATCCTCGATTGTTATCCAACAGCAAGGCAACAGAGATAGTGATACACTTCTCCAAACTTTGTACTAATACACTGCTCGTTTGGTCATTACGTGGCCATTACCGCAATACCTCACCTCGGTGAGTTAATGACAATGTTACATAAAAGTGGCAGCCACTAAAACATCACACTATCATAACAAATTATACATTTTTTCGACATGCTTTTCTAAACCTTGTTTCGACATGCTATACCATTACTTTTTATAAAAAAAATTCCAACATGCTATACTATGACTTTTTTCGACATGTTATACTTTAACTTTTTCATGACTTTTTCATGACTTTTTTAATACGCGTTGCAATCTGACTCAAAGGCTGCAACATGAACGGGAGACCAGACGAGTTAAAAGTAATAAATACACACATACATTTAAAGGATACATAAACTAAACATGGTGAGTCAGTAATCAGTATTGTCAGCACGTGTAGATGTGTGAAAATGTCTGAAACAACCAAAACAAAACAGCAGCCGTGTCACCCAAGTAAGAGGCTTGAACCACACCAGGCTCAGGCGGGGCTCATCAGTTGCTGATCAACAGCCTGAAAGACATATGACTTTTTTCAACATGCTGTAATATGACTTTTTTATGATTTTTTGACATACTATACTATTACTTTATTATGAGTTTTTCACCAACATACTATATTATGACTTTTTTCAACTTACTTTTTTTGAAATATACACTATGACTCTTTCCCATATTCTATACTATAAATTTTTTATGACTTTTTTCGATGTATTTCTTTTTACTTTTTTCAACATGCGATACTATCATTTTTTTCAACATGCAGCTAAATCTGAGAAAATGGGCAAATAATGCATGACTTCACACCACCAGAGACAAGTAAAAAAATATATTTTCATAATCTGGGTAAATCAAATCTTTAAAGCATCTATAATCAATACTCGTTTAGTAGTAAGTAAGTACAATTTATGTATATAGCGCTTTCCACAGACAATAGGCACAAAGTGCTTAACAGGAGCGGTATTTTAAATAGGAAAAGATAAATAACACAATGTCACAATACAAGCTCCCCTAATTTTAAAACATAAAACATATTTAAGAAAAGGCACAATAAACGGTAAAACACACAATAAAAACATAAACTAAAATGTTTGTGTTAACTATGGAGATAGAATTTGATGTAATTTATATAGTAAGCTTTAGATCTAGTGGACAGAGCCAGTCTAGCTGTTTCCCCCGTATGGTCTTTATGCTGTTCTAAGCCAACCACCTCCTCTTGCTCCATAGTCAGCTACATCATGACAGTGGTATTTCTTTCGGTAGCAGATATTCTACATGACTTTGCAGGACAACTGATAACCTTGTGATGGTTGTAATTATTGTCCATACATCTCAGTACGGAATCAAGTGAACTTGAATCCAGTATGCCTCTGCTGCTGCTTGCTGGTTCATAGATAACCACAGAGTTTGCCGAGCTGCTTCCGCAGGAAGAAACGCTCCAGTGATTGTAAAATGCTGCATGACCTTCTCTCTTGTCTCAGTGGCATCATGCTGTGCAAATGAAAGGTGGGTTGATTAAGTTGACCTGGGTGTCAGTGGAAGGGAAGTGTCTATGTATCCTCCTTCACATGTGATGGCTCCCTTGGAGAAATGAAGAGCCAGTATTATATCCAACCACCCAACTCATGCACACATGCACATATTTAGCTCCAATGATCTGAGGAAGAGGGATACACATGAATTTCAGAGGAGCTTGACAGCTATTATATCACAACTGTATTTTATGATGGTGTATGAACATTCAAATAACTGTATTTACTGAAGGCTGCAACCAAAATTGTACACGGCAGCATTCACAGTATGAGAGTAGCGCAGAGCAGCAGCCATGATGGGGCACACTAACACACACTAAAAGGCAGGAGCAGTTGGCCCGGATATGTAAACAAAGCACAGAGAAGCTCGGATTACAACACACAAAGAGAGAGAGCGACTTTATTCTCCACTCAGGTCGATATTACTCCACTATATCTTTACAGAGCAAAACGTTGCTTGCTGAGCTTAAAGGGATAGTTTAGGTATTTTGAAATGGGTTTGCATGAGGTACTTATCGATAGTCATTGTATTACTGTAGATGGTGGTCGGCACACCCCCAGTTTGGAAAGACGGGCAGGAATACCGACACAAGAGCAAAGGAATATACAAACTACAATATACAGGGGCAGCAGAAAAACACATTTTAGCAATGAAAAAGAAAGGCCTGTTTTAGAGTATGCTACATTTAGAGAATTTTCTTTGCTTAATCTTGCTGTCAGACAGCCCTAGTTGATGGGGAAGTTAACTGAACACCTACACCTGTCTCATCCAAACTGGGAGCATGCCGACCACCGTCTGCTGCAGGTAGTACAATGACTATGGACAAGTACCTCATACAACCCCACATGATCAAAACATTCAAACTATCATTTTAATGCCCAGTATTTTATAGAAAACCTTTAACTTTTCATCTAGTGTCATCACAAGTTAAAATGTTCAATTTGTCAAATACTTTGGTTTATGGCATTCACATCAGAAATTAAAATTATGCTAGCATTTACCTTAAAGCACCACTATGCATAGCCTCACAAAAGCTCTTGCATGATTGTAGGATATTATCCTACGTTACAGAGATTGTAAATTAGGATTGATCTGTTTATTATACAGCCTACAGTCAATGGCTTTGATTGATTATCTGAGATAAGCAAGCTAACATTACTATTACTTAACTCCATAAACCATAAATAGTGCCACTTTGATTTCTATCTTGTGGGCCAGTTTTAATGAGATTTTAAAATTGCCTAGAGTAAAAGACAGTGTTTGCATTTACCTGTGAGATTTTCTATACAACAGTTGTAATCCTACCTCAGAAAGTCTGCAGGAAGCATTGAGGCAGGAAAACACATACACCCCCTCACACAAGAATAACTAACACTGACGTATGACTCATTCACAAACTACAGGAAGGCAAACAGTGCACACATTAACAACAACAATCTTTCTGTTAAAAACACATTTCTGACACACATTCTTCATTATTGTCTATCTCACAAAGGCTGCAATGTCCCAATTTTAATATTAGAAAAAAAAGAGCAGGCAATTTCAAATGAAATCCAACTATTTGCCTTTGGAAAACTAATATGTATTCAACACCATAACAATACATTCATCTCCAGTATACCCTTGTGTCAGTAACATTTGTCAGTGGTTTATTGCCTTTGCCAACGGTCACCATTTCCCCCATTAATCTGCAGCATTCAAGGATTTTCAGATGTGGCTTCTAATCCCTCCTCAGTATCACATTATGGCAATATAACCTCATCAAGAGAAGTAGTCAAGGGCATATTGGAGAGGATATGTTCTATGTATTAGTATGCTAGTCTGCTGAGTGAGCTCCTCACTCAAATGTGTTGATGACAATCTCAAGCAAGATGATTATTCATGTTTAAATTGAAATATCACTGATAATAATTCAATAATTTCATTATGTTATATATGATGTGAGAAATCCCTTGATATATGGCCATATTGTCCCGAGACCTCATTTCACCATTTGAAAAACAGCCATTTCTGGGAGGAGTGTGTGCGGCGTGGGTCGACTGATGTCTCCATACATACCAGGATACGCGATTAGAGAGAGAGAGTTATGGCCAGTGGTTACAATCTCCTGCAGGTAAATTTATGGCCGACATATAATGATGGCACACTCAGCTGAGCCCATAGTAAATCGAAGACATCGTCTTCCTCTGTCCTTGAGAATTCTGCTCAATCTCCAAAAGCAAGCAATCTTAATCTATTTAAGCTGCTGCGTTCAATAACTGGACAGTCCTGCATTGATTGATCTTAATCTACTGCAAAGTTTAAAATCCTGCCTGTAAACTATATGTTTTATTTTCTTAACTACAACTTACTGCCAACTGCTTACAATTTTCAAATTCATGTGGTTCCTAAAATGGGGGTCGAACACTGTTAGTAAGATAACTCTGTGGAGACGCAAGATAACATCAAGATAATAGGATAAAAAATAAAACAATATATTTTTGCCACATTTTTAAGTTCCATGTAACTGGAAGACCCAATCTGAAATACAGCAACATGACTTGCATAATGGTTGAAATTAACATAAAATAAACAAAGGTACCATATGCGAACCTTTAAGTAATGGCTCTGCTACACACCATGAATGTTCTGTGATCTTATACCATCTTGTATTTAACAGTTTTGTGATTTTACAATCACTAGAACTTAACTGAGACACCAAAGACTCTTTCAAATTTGGATATACACACATTCTTTTTATTAATTTGTCATAAAACAAATAAACAATATATCTGTGTGACTAACTTCTTCGATTGGTCACTGAAAAGCACCCATTCACCGTATAAATGTTAACTTGGATAACTAGTCTAAATATGCGATCTGTGTATGTATATATATCCAGCTGTGTTGTCTTCTCTGAATCTAAAACACTTTGAAGTGGCAACATACCACCCTAGGGTCATGGTGTTTTCACCATCTTGCTTCCACCCATCAAATCTGTTCAGCTGTGTGCAGACAGACTGCAGGGCATGTGTGCTGTGGGTTTGTCCTGCGACTGACCCATGACTTAACTCGCTGTCACAGGGATTGAATGGCTTGCCAGCAAGCAGCTGTGGCTTTTGTGCCACAGTCAGGCCTGTGGCCCTCATCCAAGTGTCTCTCTGCATGAGAGACATAATAGTGTCACTGTTATGGGTGCTAAAGAGCCCGTTTGTTGATGTTGAAGATTTTGACAGAGTGGTCGGCGCTGGCGCTGGCAAGCTGGACCCAGGAGTTCTCCGCCTCTCCGTCAGTCTGTCCATCCAGCTTGTTGTTCTCGTGACCTACTCGGCCGGGCCTGGGCCTCCAGCGGAGCCTCTTGACCGTCAAAGCGTGGCTCTGTCTGCAAGAGTACATGTGATGAAGGGAAACAACGGAATACCCTGGATGACAGAGAAATACCTTCACAATCATACTGCAATGTCTGCCCTTCTCAGACACAACAAAGTAAAGACAAACTCAAACTTCTGTCACCCAAACTTGTGAGCAACAAAAGTACGGTTGTGAGCAGCACAGCAGCTTGAGGAACAGAGGCCTTCTAATACACAAATACAAGATACCTGCCTTAAAATTCACTTCCTGAGCTCGACAGAAGATGACTCACACATCCATGTGGGAAACAACGCACGCCTAAAGTACCAGCGATGCATCCCCCCCCCCTAGCTGCTGCCCAGCTAAAAGAAACATAGCCAATCAAATCAAGCTGCCTGCTGACTTTTTTTCTCTTTAATAATACATACCAACTACTGTTACTGTGACCCAATGTACTGTAAATATCTACTACCAGGAGCCATTGGAGGCCTTTCAAAGTGGCATGTGCTTCAGATGAACTTTGTTTGTGTTGTAAGGATACGAAATGTCCGTTTCGCCACAGCTGCTCCAGTCGTGTCCTCCAGCAGGCTCCTGACCAGCGCTCCACCTGTACAGCAAGATCCTGCCGCCCTCCAGGCCCACTGCAAGCAGGTAGCTGTGGAAGGGACCAAAACATATATCAAATGAAATACAAGTAAAAGTCAAGTTGCAGTTTCCATTCTTGTCTGTTCAAAATAGTCTGTTCAGATAGTATCGTCCAAAACCTCAATTCCGTTACGATTATCTGGCCAAGATGTTTTCATAAATGATTCGACTTCTATGGACCTTTTATAAAATGATTATTCTCAAGTCCCTCCAGGGAGTTTTTGACAATGGGCCAAATCCAAAATGGCTGCTAGCGTTATCTTGACAAATTCACTTTTGAACCACAGCACCTACAATCATTTATGAAGACACATTTTTGGTGTAAGCCAACCACTAGGAGGACAACAGTTTGACGTTATTATTGAACCAGAAATCCAAGATGGACACCATCCAGTGAAGTGAAAACGTAACTTTTGAACGGGAAGGTAAGACGTTTGTCTAAACAGACACCTTCTTGAGTACATTTTAAACTATATTTGATCATTCATTCTAGTAGATAATGACATTACATTAGTAGAAAACAACCAGATCTGTGAAGGATAAGAAAGGATTTGAGTATGATAAGACGAGATATAGTCATAGTATATATATATATATATATATATATATATATATATATATATACATACACACATATATACACACACATACATACATACATACATACATACATATATACACACACAGTGGGTACGGAAAGTATTCAGACCCCTTTAAATTTTTTCACTCCGTTTCATTGCAGCCAAAAAAGTTCATTTTATTTCTCATTAATGTACACTCAGCACCCCATCTTGACAGAAAAAAACAGAAATGTAGAAATTTTTGCAAATTTATTAAAAAAGAAAAACTGAAATATCACATGGTCACAAGTATTCAGACCCTTTGCTCAGTATTGAGTAGAAGCACCCTTTTGAGCTAGTACAGCCATATATACACATATATATACATACATACGTACGTATGTATGTTATGTATGTATATATACATATATATACATACATACGTACGTATGTATGTTATGTATGTATATACACACACACATATATACACACACACACACACATACACACACACACACACATATATATATTGTCAAGTTGCAGTTTAAATCCACGTCTGTCCAAATTGTCACAACTTCATTATTTTTACCTGTTTGACCGTTTTTGTATGAAGTTGTCATAAAAAGAGTTATTTTCATAGAATTATATCCTTTGACAACAAAATACTAATCAGTTCATCCTCAAATCCAAATACATTTTTGTGCCAAATTTCAAGAAATTCCCTCCAGGAGCTCCTGAGATATTGTGTTCACAAGAATAGTAAAACCCCAAAACATAATAATAAAAAAAAACACAATCTGCTTGTGTGCGCGCACGTGTGTGTGTGTGTGTGTGTGTGTGTGTGTGTGTGTACCTGTTATCAGAGCAGAGAACGGGGCAGAAAGCCACAGCAGTAGCAGAATCTCCCACATCCAAGATGGAAGAACATGGTTTAATCTCAGGAGGAAGTACAGAGTCTCCAGAGTCCTCTAATATGCACGGCCCCCACACTATCACCTGGACACGCACACACAAAAACAAAAAAAAAAATAAAAAATAAAAAATAAATAAATGGATGCTCACTACAAAAATGCATTCATTACATTACTACCTCAATCTGCAACCGCCACCTTAAAAAGGAGAGACTTACCTTCTTGTCCCGACTGGATGTCACAAAGTATTTACTGTCTGGGCTCCAGTCACATGACCAGATGATTCGGCTGTGTACGGCTGTGTCCTTCCCTGTATGTGCATACAGCGAGAACCGAGGCTCTGCATGGATACAAACAAGTCACACTCAAAATGCTATCATCAATCCCAACACTACTTATCTGTTGTCACATTTCTCTGACACTTCCTTTTCGATGACCGATGAGCTGGGAGTCAAACTTCGTGTCATGAATATTGTAGCATGACATCAGCATGTCTAGATCCCTACCTCACTACTCTGGAGCAACAAAGGCTCTCCCGAGCAACAAATAACCAAGACAGGAAACCTCATTCCAGCCCTTCACTTCAGTCAGTTTTGGTTTATGACCTGCTGCTGTTTATTTCACCAGCCTAAGTCATTTCAGGCCCCTGATTGTTTTTCCCCCAGAGAGCTTGTTTGTATGCTGGTGGCAGCCGCCTGTCTGCTGCTCTCCACTGGCACTCATACAGGCACACACATAACCGAAGGGACAAGTACACACAGCCGTAAAACCTCAGTGTTGCCACAAGTCTGATTTAAACACCATGTTGCGTCTATGTGCTCACAACACTCTCACCACAAAATACACACATATTTGTAGGTGTGTTGTTTGGGACACACGGGTGTTCGTCCAGTAACACTCATTTGAGGACCACGACGGGCAGGATAGGCCGTTTAGTCCGACCTCACAGAGATGGAGACGGACAAAGTTGAAGAAAAATGAGCCGCATTCAGTCAAGACACAACACGTAAAAACACATAAAAAAAGATAAGAAAGCAGCACATAAAAAGACTACACAAACAGCTGTACAGAAAGGTGAAAAAAAGGAGAAGAGTAAGGTAACCAGAAAACATCTGGGTGCTTGACTGTCGAGGGAGAGTAAAGGGAGGAGGCAGAAGCAGGAAGGACGACGTAGTTAGACAAAACAGGTGAGAGGAAAAGAAGAGACACAGAAGAGGTGAGAATGGAGGGAGTCAGTTTGTTACATCAGCTATAACTTTGTTTAACCTTCCCTGGTCGGGTCTGTGCGTGTGTTCTTTACAATCACCTTGAGTGATTCAGCAGCCAACCAGAACAGACGGAGACCCCTATCCTCCAATCTCTCCCTTCCTCTCTCACAAAACACCACCCCTGCCTCTGTGCAGTCCACTATACAGGCAAACAGGAAAGTGCAGCACTGCTTAGCCTCTGTCGGCCCATTAAAACCTTCCTGAGCAGCCAAAAGAGCTGTAAGATGTGTTACCAGGTGCAGGTAGGAGGTAATCCTCTGGGCTTAAACGTCGTGTTCTGCTCACCTTGGATGCAGGATTGGGTTATTTGTCCGAGTCAAGGTGCGGAGATTCTCTCATATAAACAAACTCTACAGGAGGACACTCTTATTTACAGCAGGGGCCCTGCAGGACGCGAGTGGAAAGAGGGGATGCACAGATCCCACTTGTAGAAAAATTGTGGTAAAAATGTGGTTTCAATTTCCAAAAAGGGTAATTGAACTTTTGTGACATCTCTTATCAACATGTTTAATTTAAATCAAACAATAAGTTATATTGACAATATATTAAAAAGGGATTAAAAAATGTATTATATTATAAGAAAATGGTTGAAATGGAAACTGGAGCAGCAGTAGCATGTAGGTGGAAGAAGTACATCAGAGAAAGTATATAATAGGGGGATTTTGCACCACATTGACAAGTGCAGACAATGACTATGAGGTTATTTGAGGTATTTTATGTTCAAACCACCTGCAAACAGTAGGCTATAATATGAGAAATAGAGTTCTATGGGACTCTCTAGGGTTTGGATTGAGAGGATTGACTTTCTAAGGCCATGTGGATACTGACAGGAACAATTCTGTTCCTCCAACCATTAATGTCACCGCCACTGAGCGTACACTGAAAGAGGTCAAAGCTCAAGCAAAACAGACTGAATGAGTAATCCTCCAAAAGGAGGCTTTGAGATTGATGTTTTCAAAAGAACAAGCCACTACACACCTATTATGATTGTATTTCTTCAAACAAGGGTTGCACAGCTCTAGAAATGTATTTACAGCGTTGATAGTTTCCTTCTTTATCTCATGTCAAAGCTTTCCTGCACCTACTATCCAAAGTATTACATGCAATAAAGATATTAATATGTTATAGGGGGGAAGTTAGTGAAATTCTAATTGTGGTCAATTTACACAAAAATGCATTGAAAACATGGTTTAATTTAATAAATAATCTTCATTTATTAGCTCCTTTTGGACTACTTTCAGTCAATGCATCACTTGTTTGTCTCTTCACAGTATTAATTAGGGGAGTCCTTCTAATCAGGCCAGCTTGACTTGGAATTTGATTTGGAACAAATCTGCCCAGTGGGTTTACCTTATTTTAATTAATTTGTCTCAGGGGAGCTGGTGTTGTCTGCCAGTGAGGCTCCAATATTGTCTCCTTGTGTTGTAATTTATTCAAACACATTTCTAATCAAGCTAAATGTATTTGAAAAAGCCCCACGAAGAACTATTAACTCATCCTGAGCTGCGACAGCTAAATAAATTCCTTTAAGGTGGACCCCCTAATTAGTGACAACTCCTTGCTCCTTCTCACCTGGACTTTCAGGTGTGGAAAGGTTCCGTCGCCATATAGACCAGGTGCGGTCCCGGGAAACAGCCAATAGGAGTTGTGCATCAGGGGAGAAGGCCATCTGGGTGACGGTGAGGGTGTGGCACGGCAGCGTCTGCAGCTGGCGCCATGTAGCGGTACTCCACAGCAGAATGGCTGCATGCTCGGCTTTAGATGCCTGGAAAAGACGGATTTTAATTAATTTATCTACAAAGAAAAAATACTTTAAGAAACTTGAATTAGTTTTCTTTGCCTTTTACTTTGTGCACTCATTTCTCCTTATTCGATATACTTTTCTCCCCTTCTGCAGCGCACTTCTGTTTTGAAAGATACTATAGAAAGTTTGTTTGCTCGCTTGCTTATTGGAGAAAAAAATAATAAATTAAAGGGAACGTAATTGGGGGGGGGGGGAATAAAGAAAAAGGAGGTGCAGAGGAAAGAGAGCAGGATAGTTGGAAGAAACCGGTGATGAAGAGAAGAGCAAAAGGAGAGGAATGCAAAGTGAGAAGGTGGGTGAGGTAGAGAGTCAAAGTGAGGCGGAGAGATTGTATGCCACAGGAAGACAGAAACATCTGTGATGGCTAACAACTGTGCATTTGTCTGCACTCAAGGTAAGGACAAGGTAGTTCCTATCAATACCTGACTAACAGCGCCATCTAAGCCTGCTGTGTGTGTGTGTGTGTGTGTGTGTGTGTGTGTGTGTGTGTGTGTGTGTGTGAGTGAGTGAGTGAGTGAGTGAGTGAGTGAGTGAGAGAGAGAGAGAGAATATAAGTGTGCAGGGTAAATATGTCACGATGCTCTCTGCTGAGGGTGGGTTGGGGGGGTTATGTGGTCTCTGGCCTCAACATTTATCACACCGACCTTGCATGCAGATGCCACCACCGCCCTGGCGCTGTCTGAAGCAAGACAGAACATCTCAAAGCCGTGGCCGTACCTATAGGAGACAGAGGAGGACAATCATACAAGCCAACAGCTGTACTGAATATGTGGAAGGACAGACAGGATCTGAAAGAGAGACGGGTGAAGGACAACAACAAAGAAAGCGCTCCCAGACTGACAGTAAATTAAGTATTCTCTTCCCCCGATAAGCTTCCAGGCTCAAGCCATCGCTGCTTGCTGACAGGTAAATAAGCAGACAGAGTGTGAAATTAAAATGCTGATCTGCAATGACTGGTCCTTCTCCCGCTGACAGAGATGAACAATGATGATGCTCCGGCTAATCAATCGCAGCCTAATTAGTTTCAGCTTGCCGACCATCACCTGCTCGTTTTAAAATGCCGACGAGTCAACAAAGTGAAATCATAGCCTGCAACGCAACGGAGAGAAATTCCTCCCCAACCACGAAGCTTTCAAAGGCTGCAGCAATTTGGCCACGACACAGAGTATTATTTATGCCACAAAAATAATTCGGGCACTTACTCATTTTAATGTTTTTATTATGCACTAAATGATTCAAAGGGGTGAAGCCAACGGGAGGGAGAAAATGCTTTTCAACACACACAACGCGAACAAATGGCCCCGCCATACGTCATGTTTATGGCGGATTGACAGGTAAATGGATTTAACATTGGCCACAAATGGAAGCAATATATTCAGCCTAAAGAAGGGGCTCATGGGATGGCAAGAAGCTGATTGGCTGATGAATACAAGGAGGGAGACAAACAGGGGCTTTGGGAAGTTCGTCCCTTTCAGTTACAATAAACCCTTTGGGCAAAACCAAACAAACAAAATTCCATCTGGAAATGTTGCTTCATTAAGAGTAATATGGAAACTCTGGTGTCTTTATAGAGAAAGTAGGTATATAAAAAGAAAACATGTAGTGGGGATTGTTACTGTATCATGTCTCAGGACTCTGGATATTGTTTGTGCCAGTAGGTAAATTAAACTAAAGACAAGCGGAGAGGGTTTTGGGAACGCTGTTAGCAGAGAGACATTCAGATACTCACAGTTTCTGGACCTCAGGCCACAGTGTGTTCTGGAGAAGATGATCCTCTGGTGGGGGCTCTTCTCACACACACACACACACACACACACACACACACACACACACACACACGGTTAACTTTAAGATCGTTACATAACTGTCATTTGCAAGGCCCTGAAAACTGAGCTGTTTTAAAATTCAAATACAACCAGTTTCCAATTTACTAAATGAGGATTACACCCAAGTGGCTATTATAATTTGCCTCTTTTAAATCCCTGTTCTTTTAACCCAAAGAGCGACAGATATAAACCTGCATGTGTGTGTGTGTGTGTGTGTGTGTGTGTGAGAGAGAGGCTCACAAATTAAAAGGGGAAAAAGAGAGAGACAGAAAAAGTGAACTTAAAAACTACATGGAAGACTGAAAACACGATTGATTGCCTGGAGACAATGTTCTCTCACATTCACATACAGCCTCTTTCAGCATTTAGCTTGCATGAAATCCTCAGCCCTGAAACTTGCCGCTTTTCCCCAAAAAAGCTATTTCAAAACAACTGCAGCTTTATCTCTGATTCTTAACGGCTGTTGGCTTTGAGGGGGATCAAATATAGCCCGGTGCCAATCTTCTCCTTCACACTGCAGGCTCTGCACAAGCCCATCCTGCGTTCGCGTTGCATGTAATTGAAAGCTACACTGCTTGTGTTTCTTGTTGGTCATCGACTTCCCATTTTGCCTAATTATTAATTTGTCTCCTTGCCTGCGGAAGCCAATCAAAGGAGTGAAAATGCATTGTCAACAACAGTCTCCGCACTTTGCTCCCTACATAGCCCGGGGTTATCGATACATAAACTTTGCAATCACATAAGCCTGCTTTCTAATTAGCATTGCAGATTAAGGAGTGGCTTCAATCATGCTGATGACAGCTCTTGAAACCCTCTGGCCCGGGGGTTTTAAAGTGCCAAGCTATGTTCTCTTAATTTGACTCTCATCCATTTCCCCATCTGCCCCTTCCCTGCAACTAGTTTCTCAATTTTGCTTTAGTTTCTTATACTCTTCTTCCTCTGTCACATCAACTCAATGGCATTTCCATTCCCAAACCCATACATTTGATCCTAGATTTGAGATTTGATTCTATTTTTTAATAACAACCTACAATTTTCTTGTCTTAATTTTTGCTTTTACTCCCATCCCCTTTTCCTGACGCCTCCTCTTCCTCACCCACTACCCTTTTCCTCTCATCCCCTCTCTGGCTGTAATACCATCAGCCTCCAGCAGACCTCAGGCACTGTGGGAGTACAGCATGGTGAGAGCCGTAATGACTTGCTGTCCATCTGGCCGCGCATAATTGTTTCTTATAAGAACATTTAGCGACGGGCAGACTGGAACTCTTAAATGTGTACCGAGGCTATTGAGTGGATAACAATGAGGACTATGATTCATGCTGTGGAGGGGACAGAGATGCATTTTTGCTCTTAAATTATTCATCGGGGAGGTTTTAAATCTTAGAAATGACCATGTTATGTTGGAAAAATACTTGAAAGTGTTGTTTTTGCAGGTGTGTGTACAGTACCAGTCATGATGAGCGGGTGAAAGTAAGACTCCTGGTATTGATCAGATACACTGTTGAACTGCCCCTCCTTTTCATTGGGTTTTGGGGCAAGGTCACCTGTAAATGTAAATGACATATCTGTAAATTAATTTGACTATTTGAATACATTGCATAAAATGAACAAAACTACTAAACAAACCCTCAGTTTAATATGACACTGCTGTCTCAAACTGCTGTGTTTGGAGCTCATGAAAATTGATCATCAAATAAAACTTGGCCCCAAACCCCGAGCGCTGAAACACTTTGATGTGGAGCTGAGCAAGTATTTTACCTTGAAATACAGCCTTGTTGGACAGACCCAAGGCAGGTGTGCTGGCTCCTTCTGGAAGGTTAGCAGAGTCCTGGCCACGAGCAGATAAATGAATGGACATAGAGAGACAGACACACACACACACACACACACACACACACCCCAATAACTAGGTGGGCCGTCTCCTCAGCAAATCTTAACATTGGAAAACAAAGTGAGACGACAAAAAAAGTTTGACCTGATCTTTGAACAGACGGCTTTAAAGGTGATGGACTTAATCACTTGACTATATCTACTCATGCAATAAAAAAAATACTTGAAAATATTATAATAGACAGTCATTTAATTTGGCACTCACACTAGATGCCAACAGCTTTTCTCTTGACGTGCCAGAGATGTTAGCAAAATTCTCCACGAAATTACGAGGTGCTTGAAACACTCGCAGCACCTTCTCGTCAGCTCCCGACACAAACTGAAACCTTCCAACCATTGCCAGACACTGCATGTCGTATCCATGGATCTGTGGCCGTGAGATTTCGTGCCAGGTTACCTGCAGAGCGAAAAGGACACAGAAAGATATTATAAAGATGTAGCTCTGGTGATGAGGATTCCAACCAGCCGCACGTGGCTGCCAGGGGAAGTGTTTCAATAGATCTCTGATGTTGTGGAACTGTGTTTCTTGGTCCTACATCAAGGAGTTTGTAGCCAAATACAACATTGATTCTCTTGTTCAAATGAAACATTTCCAGCTTAAGATGCAGAAGTGTTGTTACAAGAGAAGATTGAAGGCTCCAGTGCAATAACACCAGCATATAGTGGCATTGTCAATAACGTAATGAAGGCTGGAAACTTCATTATGTTTCTACCTGAGCTAGATGCCAAACTGGCATGTTTTACCCCATTTCTAATAATTTCATCCGGATAAACCCGAGGTGAAGAAACAAGTGGGCGAAGGGTTTTCTGAAGTACTCTTTTTGTGACCAATCAATCCCTGTATCTCAAGTCATGATTCCTTCCCTCGAAAATAAATCACTTATAAGAAACTCTTTATTATTAAGTCACAACCTACTAAATTCAATCAGGAACATTTCCTTCACATATTTGAGGAAACTCGACAAGTAGAATATATATTCGGTGCAGACTATATCCCAGAAAGGTTAATACAAAGCGCCGGTGTTGAGAGGAGAGACGCATACTAAGTAACTATTGCTCACAGCCTGGAGAGCAGAAGAAGAAATGAAGAAGTCTTTAAGTCGACATGCTGATGCCAGGTGTGTGAAAACGGTCTTTTATATTTGTCTCATGAATAAAGAAATGTGGCGCGGTAGCGTTTAACCTACACATGCTAACTATGCACTTACAACATTTAAAAATACTGTCACTACTACTACTGAGCTAAAATCAGCTTTGCAATTCTTCTCCTACATCTACATGTTACAGATGACTCTTAGGCTATTTTACCTTTTTGGCATCTTGGTTCCTCCATGGAGTAAAGAGTCTGGTGGTCTGGTCTGAGCCCACACTGAGGATGAACTCACCATCAGGATCCCAGCTCAGGTCCTGGACTGCATTAAAGTGACCCGATATCACAACCCCAGGCCTCCATCGTCCCTGGTCAGACAGCATTGCAATGATCAGTTTTCAAACCCCTGATTTCCTATTTAAATTTCCCTCTACATACACATCACTTCAATAACTAATATGATTGGCATTGGAGAGTGGGCGATTATAATTGAGGTGTTGCCGTCTGTGAAGTTGATTTCCTTTGAAACCTCTGAATTAGTCATCAACACCTTCAAGTTTGCTCTGAAGTTTAAATTCACCTTCCGAGCCGGCGTAATTGAAATGCTTTTATTTCTTCAGGCTCCCACTCTTTCCCAGGGACACCAGAGTAAGACACATGCAAAGCCAGTCAAATTTAGTGGCAGACAAGAGACTAATTACACGAATCACTGTGTCTCACACAGAGTAGCTTTGTAGCAATGCACTAACATTGAATCCAACATGAAACATACTTAGAATTCCAGTGCTTTATGGAAAACTTTCTTGTGCAAACTTTAAAACTACTGGCATTATATTGATTTGAATATTTAAGAGTAGCTGAGGCTCACCTCTTTGTCCTTTTCTTTGCACCACAGATGTAGTGCTCCATGAAAAGCGTGAGCCACGATCATGGAGCCATCCGGACTCATCTGGCAGCCGTAGAAACCCAGAGTGTTGCCACCAACCTCCCCTACACGCACCTGGTGGGAAAGAAAGAAAAAAAACGCGATGAGGGCGATCATTACTGATCAGAAGCATCAACTCATCTGCCTTTTCAACACACTCGTATCGGACACCAGGTGGCTGAAGAACATCTGGTTTCTGGGTCAGAGTCACTGACTTGCTGCAGACAAAGATGAAGGACACAGGAGGTGCATTCACTGCCACATATGGAGAAAAAGCAGCAGCGTAAATTAGGTTATTTATGCTATTTCTGAGAGTTATGAATTTAGCCTCCTTTAATCCTATACGATATTCTGACATGCGGTATATTTTAGTATATACAGTCTGGTTCTCAAACGTTTGAGTTTTGTGTAAACCTACGGGCTAGATTCATAGAAAAGAAGCAGAGTGAGATAGAAAGTTTTAATATCTGTTCTCAGTCTTCCTCTAAGAGGCTATTAATGATGACGCTCCATGATGGTGGAAAAAAAAACAGCAAATTAAGCTGACAAGTCAAATGAGAAATTATGCAAAATGGGACTTACTAGAGCTGAATAAACTGTTGTGTCTTTCTAACAAAATACATTTGTCTACAAAGTGAAAGCAGTCGCAGTGCAGCGTATCACACAAAACAAATAATCATGAGAAATGCCAACGCCTGAGAACCCAGAGGGATTTAAATAAATTGGATTTGAGTGAGAGCTTGTGACCCCTGCGTGATGCTCATAAGGCAGATCATATATAGACAGTAGGGTCTGAGCTTCTACTGAAAACAACACCCCAAATCACTGCCTCAGCTCAGAAAAATGCTAGAAAATTAAAATGACTCTTTTAGGATTCTGGCCACCTGTCTAATCTCAGACCTTGCTTTTGTGCGTCAAGACAGGATTACAACTAAAAATGAACATTCAGCCATACTGTGAAATGAAAAGCTTCCGATTAGTTCTAAAAATGTAAAAACTGAATTACAATCTGTATTCATTCATCGTGTCATTGACATTAATATCCATAGAGAACAGAAATTACATTCGGAAATAGAGAAACAAGACGTTTAAAACTGATGGGATTAAATAGGTTGATATCTCATCCTGTTGCATAATCGGTAGGATTCAATGCAGGATTATGGAACTAGACAGAAATAACTTGAAACAATGTAGAAATGAATCCACGGGAATTCTTATTTAAGCAATAGAGAGATGTTCCAACCACGAGCTGTCAATATTTGCACCTACAGCCGGCTTGTTCAAGAGACAACGTGCTTCGTCACGGAAGTATAAACGGACAGTGAAAGAGAGTAAGAGTACAGACATACAGTGGGTACGGAAAGTATTCAGACCCCTTTAAATTTTTCACTCTTTGTTTCATTGCAGCCATTTGCTAAAATCAAAAAAGTTCATTTTATTTCTCATTAATGTACACTCAGCACCCCATCTTGACAGAAAAAAACAGAAATGTAGAAATTTTTGCAAATTTATTAAAAAAGAGAAACTGAAATATCACATGGTCATAAGTATTCAGACCCTTTGCTGTGACACTCATATTTAACTCGCATGCTGTCCATTTCTTCTGATCCTCCTTGAGATGGTTCTACTCCTTCATTGGAGTCCAGCTGTGTTTAATTAAACTGATTGGACTTGATTAGGAAAGGCACACACCTGTCTATACAAGACCTTACAGCTCAGTGCACGTCAGAGCAAATGAGAATCATGAGGTCGAAGGAACTGCCCAAGGAGCTCAGAGACAGAATTGTGGCAAGGCACAGATCTGGCCAAGGTTACAAAAGAATTTCTGCAACACTCAAGGTTCCTAAGAGCACAGTGGCCTCCGTAATCCTTAAATGGAAGAAGTTTGGGACGACCAGAACTCTTCCTAGACCTGGCCGTCCAGCCAAACTGAGCAATCGTGGAAGAAGAGCCTTGGTGAGAGAGGTAAAGAAGAACCCAAAGAACACTGTGGCTGAGCTCCAGAGATGCAGTAGGGAGATGGGAGAAAGTTCCACAAAGTCAACTATCACTGCAGCCCTCCACCAGTCGGGGCTTTATGGCAGAGTGGCCCGACGGAAGCCTCTCCTCAGTGCAAGACATACGAAAGCCCGCATAGAGTTTGCCAAAAAACACATGAAGGACTCCCAGACTATGAGAAATAAGATTCTCTGGTCTGATGAGACCAAGATTGAACTTTTTGGCGTTAATTCTAAGCGGTATGTGTGGAGAAAACAAGGCACTGCTCATCACCTGCCCAATACAATTCCAACAGTGAAACATGGTGGCAGCATCATGCTATGGGGGTGTTTTTCAGCTGCAGGGACAGGACGACTGGTTGCAATTGAAGGAAAGATGAATGTGGCCAAGTACAGAGATATCCTGGAAGAAAACCTCTTCCAGAGTGCTCTGGACCTCAGACTGGGCCGAAGGTTCACCTTCCAACAAGACAATGACCCTAAGCACACAGCTAAAATAACAAAGCAGTGGCTTCGGAACAACTCTGTGACCATTCTTGACTGGCCCAGCCAGAGCCCTGACCTAAACCCAATTGAGCATCTCTGGAGAGACCTGAAAATGGCTGTCCACCAACGTTCACCATCCAACCTGACGGAACTGGAGAGGATCTGCAAGGAAGAATGGAAGAGGATCCCCAAATCCAGGTGTGAAAAGGTTGTTGCATCATTCCCAAGAAGACTCATGGCTGTACTAGCTCAAAAGGGTGCTTCTACTCAATACTGAGCAAAGGGTCTGAATACTTATGACCATGTGATATTTCAGTTTTTCTTTTTTAATAAATTTGCAAAAATTTCTACATTTCTGTTTTTTTCTGTCAAGATGGGGTGCCGAGTGTACATTAATGAGAAATAAAATGAACTTTTTGGATTTTAGCAAATGGCTGCAATGAAGCAAAGAGTTAAAAATTTAAAGGGGTCTGAATACTTTCCGTACCCACTGTATATATTCATATATATTCATGTTAGAATTCTTCATTCCTAACTACTCACTCTTCTGAGTTTATACTTCAACACCGAACCAGTCAAAGATAAGCTGTTTGAGAGCATTCTGTTGACCAGGCAAACTTCTCACTGAGGTATTCAAACAATTAAAAGCTTTATCTGGGCCCGAGGCCTTGAAAGGTAAACTGGGCCCAAAGGGGAGATCTATTCAAATCGAGAGCAGCAGAACCAACCCTGGAGAGCGCTACACTGCTCCCTTAGCAGCACATATCTCCTCCATCTTTAATTAGCTTGTGCCTTAAATGATATGGACATTGGCTGTGAGGAAATATGAGAAGTGCTAAATTCACACTTGAATGATTCCAATAGATGCACAGCTTAGCCGGTTAACTTTTCTTGAGACAGGTAGGTAGAGTGAGAGCATGTTATGCCGCAGCAGTGACCCGAGGCAGACTGCAGGAGAAACAAACAAGAACGTATTTGCACCAATTACATGTTAAACAGAGATGTTGAAAGGGTTCACACAAACGCACCAGCAGGGCACGGACATATCTTTGCCACGTCTATTGTACGAGGCGGTAAAGTGATGTCCTCAATCATTTGGACCTTCTTAGGGAGCTTCCGTCGGTCATCAATGACCTTCAAAATAACGCCTGTCTGCAGGCTGAAACACAGCGGAACTAATGGCAGCAATAAAGACACGCCTTCCCTTGGAATGGCACGATCCTCCAGCCATCCAGTGAGAGATGGGCAGAGAGGAAAGAGAGACAGTCAGGTATAAACATAGATGCCGAGATTGAGAGAGAACAAGACGCAACATTAAGCAGATTGATTTTAGAATTCTGCACACAAGAGCCTCCCGTAAATCATGCAAAAACTCACAGAGGCAAAAAGCCGTCATCTGTCTTGTTTACGAGTGAGGGAACAATATGGATGCACAGCGTGCCTTATCACTGGCCAGCGGGGGTATGGGGGAGGAATAGAACAAGGACAGAAAAGAAGGGAAGGCATATATCATTCTTTGAAGGAGAGAAAGAGGGTGATGGGTGCTAAATGAGCCGAGTCAAGCTGGGAAAACCCATACAGTGTGGAGTACAGGTTTTCTAATGAACTTTTGAGGCTGAAATACTGACCGACACGTTGAGAGACTGGGTCTACTTCCCATCAATTACTCTTGATGTTAAGATGCACAACATACAGTAAGGACTGCAACTAAGGATTACTTTATTATCTATTCATCTTTTGATTTGTCTCAATCAGTCGACAACCGTTTCCTCATTTTGTTCAACGAGCAGTCCAAAACCCAAAAATATTCAATTCACAGTGATATGTACCTAAGAAATGGGCACAGATGGAGCTCTCTACTGGACTCTACGGGTAACATTCTCCTCCAATCACAAGCATGCGTTCGCACACTGAAAAACGTAGCCGACCAATCAGGAGGTGCCTACCCAAATACGTGTGGCCCCCAAACTATATAAGGAAGCACACACTGCTGTCTGCTATCCTACAGCATCTTCAACGAGCGACAGGTTCCCTAGGTCAGTGGTTCTCTGACATTTCAAGTCTCGACAATCAAGTTGATGTTGGATTTTTTTTCCAGGTTGACTGCCCCTCAGAGTTCTTTGGATTTGGGTCTTGGAGAGTAGCCCCACGAAGCAGCACGCAACTGGAGTGCACCGACAGGGCAGTTAGTTCACACATTCTTTTAGCCGAGGTCAGCGAGAGCAGCAAAGGTGTCTTGAACGACAATGCTCTCAAGAGTGGAGTCATAGGCTGAAAGGGATCCTTCACCAAGGCCTCAAGCACCAAAGGCAGTTTCCGCTGTGGGGAGGAGTCACGCGTTGTCTCCTGAACACCTGCAAGGACCTCTTCACAAGAGGGTGGGCAAAGCGAGGGAGAAATGGCTGCTGCTGTACTTTAACAGTGGCATGAGAAAGCCCTCTGCCTACCAAACACCACAAAAAAAAAGGGGAGAATATAACCAACTGCGAAGGACAGGGGATCCAGCCTCCTATTCTTGCACCTGCGTTGGAACCCCGACCACTTTGACCTGTAACAGGCAATGGTCCCACTCCTGCAGCCTCTCTAACAAGCCAAGCCTGGAGAGTTTGGCCCAGGATGGGCAACGCACCTATCGCACCTACCTCCTGAGACAGAGACACCCTGACCTGGGCGATGGTCCACAGCTGGGCCGCCGCCATCCGAGTCATTAATGCATGCCACGGTGCTGAGGGGCGACCGGGGCTACCAGCATGACCAACAACTGCTCCACTCTCTCCAACAGGGGAGGGATGAGACAGAGCAGTGGAAAGGCTTAAAGCAGCTATCTTGGCCATGGCACGAGCGCAAATGTGTCCACCCCGAGGTGTGGATCAACTTGCAGCATAAGGGAGAACCATAGTGGGATGTGGGTGTTGCATTGGTTGAGGAACAAATCCACCTCCTCCACCGGGTCCAAACCACCTCGAGGTGAAGCCTCCACTGGTCTGGTAGGGGTCCGCCTCAAAACATGAAGTTGGCTCCTCATCAAACGGAGCAGAGAGACCGACGGAGGGCGAAGCTGACTGAAGTAAAGTTCCCGGGCCCCAAAATTAAAACAATGAGCTAAAAGCTGTAGAGCTGAGGGGTCCTGCAGAGTAAAGTAAACATTCACTGTTCTTTTGTCACTATGAGCGACACATTTCACATTATACCTAATAGTGTCATTCATTGATTATGTAACATTTTTGATTAGCGTAGCTTTAAACAAACAATCAAATATCAAAATTGTTGTTGGTCGATTCTCTTTCTTTCGATTAATTGTAATTTTAGCAATACATGAAATCAACTCATATCTCAAAGGGTTAAAGTTAAAGAGTAACTCGACACCCCCTGAACATCTTTGCTGAACTGGTTTGACATTTGTCCTTGCAGTGACCGACTACTGCTAACCACACCCATCAGTGATGTGGGGCGTGGTCAGAGGACTCCGCTTTTCAGTCTGGTGTTAAGCGTGGCGTTAGACAGCCACCTAATTCAAAAATATGAACTAATTTTGGTTTTAGTGGCTTCTCGATCTGCATGTGTAACTTGTGGAAAGTACACAAGCCAAGGTCTGAAAATAGGTTCTCTCCCATACACACAAACACACCCACACAAACTGACAATCCCCCCCAGGCCTCGTAGTGGCCCGCTGTGGTCAGTCTGAGATGTTAATTACCAGTGTGTCTCATTAGTAAGATGTGCTTTACGCAGCGGTGGACCCTGGCCACCCCACTGCTAACCCTGCTCTCCATTAAATCTCACCAATTACTCTAATCAGCGTGAAGAATTGGAGCACTTCTTTGTAAAAATTGGCTAATTAAGACACACATGGCTGGTCAGTTAGCGCTGTGGAATCTGCTCCGCCAATAACTTCAATGTCCCATAGTTACAACCTGTGAGGCCAAATCAGATTATGGAAAACACTGGAACAGACAGAATCAAAGGCATTTGGTACTTTTTTAACATGTAAAGATGGGAGCAAAATGCAAATACAGTTTAATTCAATCAGAGTGTGTGTGTGTGTGTGTGTGTGTGTGTGTGTGTGTGTGTGTGTGCGCTTAAGAGGCTAAGCTTCCTTTGTAGGTAGGGAACCTGTCAGTTCAAAGGGTTTGGCTCTCTCGTTTGAGGAAAAAACAAAAACAAAATTTAACACAGGTCGGAAGGAACAAAAACGAAAGCAGAGAACTGCACTTCCAAATTCAACAAAGGAAATCTCGGGTCGGGGGTTTATATTATTTTTGGAATCAAGAACAAAAGCCTGAGCTTTGGAGGAAAATTGGCCACACCAGACGTGATTTCAAACTCTCACTGCTGCTTTTCACTTCCACTGACCACCTTTGTCTAATAATACTGAGAAGAAATTTGCGAGGAGAATTGGCGCTGGCTTCAGGCCCTAATCATTGCCCCTTTGTCAGAGAGGAGAATCAGAACTTTCACGTTTGCTCTCTTCAGTGGTCTTTGTTGCTCTCAGTTGTGGATGAGAGTGATGAGATCAAAGGGGCAAAAAAATGTAACTGATCAAATGTGGAAACTTTCTCGTCACTCTCATATACGATCACACTCAAGGTGCCTGCTATGGCGAGGTGAGCACACACTGTGGGATACATACTGCATGTGGGAGCATGTCTGTATTTTTGCAAGTCTGCCCATGAGCACCTATTGTTTCTGTGTTTTTGTCAGGTACGTGGAAAGGTAATCTGAGGTACTTCTGAACCACTTGAGAATTAGCATATTGCATTTAGAAATTTTTTTTTAAAAAAGCTGTGGGGCAGATGGGCAGGAAACAGCTTTTTCTTCGCCATGCGCACTTGTGTTAAATTTAGCCTCATTCTGGCACAACAGCAGCTGTTGGTAGCTGGGAGAGATGAGGTAGAGGGGAGCGAAAGCTAGGCGGCAGATAGAGAATGTGTGAGAGGGAGACTAGACAGGAGGAGAGAAAGGGAGGCAAGTGGTGGAGAAAAAGATGAGGTAGAGGACAGAAAACGACAGTGAGGAATGAACGTGAAAGACAGATCATGGAGTAAAAAAATTAATAATGACTAAGGCGGTGCAGGCAGAGGCTATGGCATGTCTCCCAGAAGCCTCTCCATCCCACGTCGGATGTGTTGGGGAATGGGCCTTAAAAGAGGGGGTTCAATTTGAGTGAGTGACAAAGGGAAGACGGGGGAGGTTGATCTTGGCTTGTCTAAACTCACAGGTTGGCGGCTCTTCATCACGGTCTATCACTTCCATTCCTGACACCTCAATGTCAGGGAGAGTGGAAGCTGACGCAGGGGCACTGACAGCAGGAGAGAAAATACTAGGGGAGGGCTCAAGCTCCTGGATCATGTCAAGAGCTACTGAAAAAGGAAGCTAGCAGAAATAGAGTCGGAAATTGGTATGTGCAAACCCTGTGCTCCCTGCATAGAGTAATTGATACCATGTGTATATGTGTGTGTTTAGGCTCTGTTTATCTGCACACACCCTCCTTGTGCTCAAATCAACAATCACCTGTTCAACCCAGACCCCAGATCCCTCCTCTGGAGCCCAGAAGATCATGGTTTTGTCCATGGAGGCTGAGAGCAGACCGAGGGGCTGTTGCAGCTCACCACCTGCAGGGGGAGACAAGAGCATACAGTACACCGTCAATGGATGTCAACAGAATACAGTTAACTATTAGGCCTGTGGTTTGTGTGTTCTATGATTTATTTTTATGGTTGCACAGTGACCATGCTTTTGTCTCAACAATATATTTAAAGCTACTACAAGGACCTTTAATATTGTCTTGATCTCTTTGGCGGTCCCTGTGGACAAAAGTGGTAGTGTTTGCGAGCACTAGAATCCCTCCTGAACCTGTCACTTGACTGCAGCAGGATCTGACCCAAGCAGTCCTGGTTCTCCCGTGCCTCTTCCCCTTGATGTAATGAGCTTTTAAGGGAACCAGAGTTTAAAGAGAAGATTTAGAAACATCCATCAGCAGTTTTTCCCTGAGTGCTAATTAAGACAATAACTTTTCAAACCCGTTCTTTTCTTCTTTTCTGCCTTTTGTGAGCAACAGCATTGCAAGACAAGGGGAGAGAAACACTTTATCTCAGCTTAGCATGCAAGCATGTCCATTTACTTTGACAGGCTGTAAAAACAGAATAAATTATTGAAAGGTCTGTGAGGTAACTGTGTCAGATTCTGAAAGTTTGATTCACTTTTAGACACAACACCACTAAGAGCTTTTCCAGGAACCTACCGCCAATTATCTAGAACTTTCGTGAGTAATGACCGATCCCTTCCGTTTTTAAATCAAGGTACCTTTGTAGAGAGGAGGCTGCCAGTGGACTCCATAGACCCAGTTCTCATGGCCTGCCAGGACTGTCTCAAGAGACACAGCAAACACTGAGGAAGCGTCTGTAGCAGAAACACAGAGAGGCCAAATGAAGGGTAGGTTTACATTCATGCAATTCTACATGTGCCATGAAAAATCAATCAAAGTTGAGCAACACATAAACAGACACTTTGTTCTTTATGGAGGTGGGTAACCACCATGTGCCATTATACCATCAAAAAGCTTGTCTATTCATTTGGCTGATTAGCAACCTTTTCATGTATCAAGCCTGTATGGCCCACTCACCTCTCTCCTTCACTTCAAAAACGTCCTCTTTCATTTTGATGATGGTGTGATCGTCCTCTACGTGGGCGTCTGTCCCAGACTTGGCACACAGCCTCCACACTCTGATGAGGCAGTCCTGGGAACAGCTGGCTAATAACAGCTCCCCACCTGAACGAGTCAGAGAGAGAACATGAAAACCTTCCTGGCTGAAAGACATTTTCTATCAACTCTCAAAATATTCGATCAATTTAGGTTATCATAATTGCCTTTGGTTATTTACTTGCTATGACAAAAAGGTGTGTTATTATCAAATATTAGTATTACTGTTGCGTTGTATGGCAAAACTTTAAGAACCATCATATTTACCTCAAAGCACAGCTGAGCTAAAGTAAAGTTGATTATATTTAGAGCGATGCATAATTGAGCCATTGTGGACAATTTAGAACCGAGCCTAACAAACAACTGTTCTGACTTAGATTCAAGAATACCAGGTTTTGTTTTCTGGTTTTTAATGAGCCTCACCTCGCTCGTCTATTAGCTCCTGTTGTCTTCAATCGTTTGTTAGAACTGTTATCAAGGCATTATAACAGAGTGCTGCCGACTGTGACATGGCCAGTAAGACAGCAGGAGCACCGGCCAAATATAAACAAAGCTCAAGCCACTATCTCCGGGTGCTTCGGTCTGTCACATTATGCGTTTAAGGTTTAGTCCAATGGCCACTGGCCCAGAATTGCCTCTGCCAAGATGAACAGACATATTAAAAACACCACCTAATGCTGGGAGAGGTAGGAGGAAGGCCAGAACGGTTTGTCGATCATGATGCCATGACGTTGATGATCACAATGATGGCTTTGCTACTCGCCTGAAACTCTGACAAAACTGCTTGCATTGGCGACTTTCTTGAGCCTGTCCGAATTCTTCTATGAAACATTGTTTTGGATAGTTCTGACATTAGAAATTACCCATTAAATAAAGCATCAGATCTGATGGTGTTGCCTGAGATTCGGTGTCTGACTGACAAAGTTAAACCAATAAGGCTTCATGAAACGGAGTCACATAACTAGGAACTTTCACCAGATGCGTTTTTGAAGCAGCAGTTGGAGACTCAGAGGTAACTTTTTCCTGCTGAGCCAGCACATATTAAACATGTTAATCACTGTCAGTAAAGGGTTTAAGTCACTGCTCACTGACGCGTAGTAGAGGGAGACAGCTGTGTACGGCGCACGCTCGCCCGCTGTGACACCGGTAAGCTCTCGTTCTACACACACAGCTGGTCTGGGTTTACAGCCAAAGCGATACATGTAAACAACATTTTCAGTGTTTTGGTTACAGTACGAATGATAAAGTGTGACTTCAGATCTGTTGGTGGACTGAAGGAAACGCCCATGCAGAACAAATCATTGGAGTTACAGCCAGTCGACATGTTTCATTTCACTGAAGAAGAATTAAGAAATGTGCGATGCTGAACGTGCATCTTATTATATTCTAATTCTAACACATTTAACATTATTTTTGTTAAACTTTCTGTTTTGATGGAAACAAAATGATTTGCTCTTTACTAAAGCCGTTCGATCACTAATAATAACTAATAACATCCATGTGTTTTTAAAAACAGACATTAGCTGCCTGTTAGATGTTGATGAGGAACATAAAGCCCTGATACGGACACAGGATTGAAAAAACATCTTCATGACCCGTGGCTCTCATAAAAGTCATCTTTTTGATGCAACTATTTGATTTCTTTTTCATAAAATGTATCTTGCATGAGAAGGTTGAACTGCTCTCCCAAAAATGTCAGATTTAAAAGTATAGCATGTGACCAGCTGATTTTATACTCGTGCTTCATTTATTCTACTACTAAGATTAATGGGAAGAAAATAGTGATTTAGAAAATATGATAAAGACAGAAAGACAAAAACAGAAAATAGCATCATGCACTGAGTGCCAGTGTTTAACAGCTATAATATACTGGACCTCTAGTGCTGCAATTTGCCATCTGCCAAGTCATAAAACAAAAGCATGATTTATGTAACTACTATCACAGCGGAGAGAGGGTTTCTGTCATTCCTATGGGGATATTTCTTACAAACAAACATCTCTCTGTCTCTGTGCTGGCGCGTAGCTCGGCAGTGTGGAGTAGGTCATAGACTGTGAGTGGGAAGGAGACACTGGTGGAGAGAGCTGGTTAAGGAGATGAAATAGCTTTTTACACAGTCAGAACAGTGCAGTAATGAAGAGCCCTTGAAGAGGGTTGTACAATTAGTATAGCTTGGATTGGATCCATACATTGCCATGTGCTATCACAGTACTGTGAATAGGTAACTAGTGGCGATGCCGGACTCAAGATACGTGGTTTAAAGGCTGTGTCTAGTTTTGATTTTACGAGATGTTCTATTGATCTTAAAAATAAAATGGTGATTTTGCTCTCTAGCTGTTACATGCATGCAGAACATTTGAAAACATCCTTAACAATGAGTTTAGCTTGGATGGTTTAGTTTTCAACATGTAACAAATAAGAAAACAAAAAACGATAAAAAGAACAACATGTAACTTGTACAACAAATTCTAAATAAATTAATATTACATGTAAGAAAAGGAGTTGGTAGAAGTAAACACAAAGAAGGTCCTACCCCTTTCCTAAAAAATGAAATTAATGTTTATCACATATAGATATAAATGACCATCTTAATATATATATATATATATATATATATATATATATATATATATATTGTCTCAGTTGTGGATATTTCCAATAAAGAGTCATAGAGTCATCTGACACCAAGCTAAAAAAAACTAAAGGCATTGTTTTCAATGAACACTTAACTAATAGACTGTAACAAGCAATGTTTTGCCCATATACGGTCTACAGAACTCTTAATTAGCCATTAAGAAAACATCAAATCAAAGAATCTTTTAATGTATTTAGTTAGTATCAAACATGTCTTGCTAGCTTACGTTGCTAGCTTGCCAAAACCCAACGCTGGTGACCGACTCGTTACTACTGTCACCACCTACCAAAGAGATCCTGGGCTCAAATCTCAGCACTGGTACCCCAAAGAAATGTAACTGGGTTTGAGAAGATGCTGGGGTTTTGCGAAAGGCTCAAGAGCACTTACATACACAATGGCTTTATTTCGTGTTCTGAAATTTCTAACATAAGTGTTTTTCTAATCACAAAACCCTGCCTACACATATTGTATATTATAAGTATATCTGACCTTGAGTCAAGTCAGACCATGCTGCCATTACTTCAAACAGTAGCGCTCACCTAGAGATGCCCAGGCCACTCCACGAATCCAGTCTTCATGCCCTTGCAGTGACATGGCTTTATGGAGCTGCTGTAGATCATTTAAAAAGTTCAGATGTTGCTCTCATACTTCAGTAATTCAACTTAAAGTGTTGGAACATGAATGATCTGCCCCTGACAGAGTATCGGTCAGAGCTCACCTCTCCGTTAGACTGCACATACAGATGCACCCGAGAGTCATCGCCCCCACAGGCCAGTATGGGAACTGTGAGAAAAGAAGGTTGCGTTTTCAGACAGTCATGTAAGCACACACACACACACGCACACACACACACACACACACTCACATTGCATACATTTAAATCAAAGCCAATGTTTTATAAAATAGGAGCGAGGTGGAAGGGAAGGATGGAGCACATCATCAAACAGACAAACGACATGCAAGACAGAAAGGCCAATTGACACGAGACACTTCAAACGCGGGCTGCATTTTGAATATGACATTCAGTTACGGGCACTAAAGCAGTGGTGCAAATTTAGATGGATTACATGAGAGGAAAAATGTCTGTGTGTGTGTGTGTGTGTGTGTGTGTGTGTGTGTGTGTGTGTGTGTATGTGTGTGTGGCGCACAAGTTAAAGGATGTCTACGTAGTAGCAGCTTAGGCTTACCTCTGCTGCCTGGCAACAGTGCCAGAGAGACATCCATCATGAAACTGCTGCCAAATGATAAGGTATGGAGGCACTCAGCTGAGGAACACACATGCACAAGGAATTAAACTTTCCGATGCTCTACGAGTAAAATTGCTACACAACTGAAAACATAGTTTGGGGTTTTTTGTCTGAATAGATACAAAATGCATTAATACACAAAATATTTATTTTGTCTTCCCCGTATGTGTAGAGGCCAAGGGCCTCTCAAGCTGTCACAATTCAACACAACATAGTTATCGTATTTTTATCTGGTAATCCACCCCACGGTTACGCCCCGCATACACACACACACACACTTAGTTTCTATGACTGTCGAGCAGCATCAGTGTTCATCTGCACTGACAGGTGGACAGAAACTTTCAACAAAGAGAAGCAGATAAGGACGACAGCTTGTATCATAACTGATATTTAACTCTGTGAGGAAATTAAAGGCAATATTATAATGAATACGGCTGTGGTGATACTGTCAACTGCTTTTTAGGAAATAACAAAATTGTCATTTTTGTTCAAAAGACATAACTTTTTTCTGTTATTGACAGATTGTTTCACCTGTTTTGCTAACCAAATATTTAAAATAAGACTATTTTAAGTGCATGTTAAAAAAGACAATGTCATAGAAGTGATGCTAAAGGCTCAACAGTTCTGCAGCACTGCAGAGGTGAGGCAAATGATCACGTTGCCATGTCCCATAGCAGCCACTAGAGGGCAGATAGGCTACTTGTGAGGGAATCAATTATTTATTTTTTAAGTAATATGTAAGCCTGTTACTTTCTGGATTGAGTTGTACATAAAGAAGTGCAAGGCATCTGGTGGAAACGAACTAGTTCTTGCAAAGCTGACCTATCGAAAAAGTAAAATTTTGATTTCCAAAATAATCACAGTATCCAATAGTTTACCTCAGTGTTTCTTTACTCGTCTGAACCCATAAAAAGGAGTCTACTTCGGCACAAACACGGTTTAGTTTCACCTCTTCATGCCTAAAACGTATTTAAAAATAAAACGTCTGAGAAATGAAATCACTGTGGCAGGTTGATACTGAACACCAAATGTGTGTGTGAATGATCATCAGTTTAGACCATGATGGGCAGGTTGCACCTTGCATGGCAGGCCCGTCCACGAGTGAATGTTGACATTTAAGTGTTAAGTGCTTTGAGTGGACAGAAGACTAGAAAGGTGCAATATAAATGCAACTCACAACTCACAGACATGCATCCTGTGAAGATGGGTCTCAAGTTGACATTGATTCATATTTAAAAAAGTCACGAGCAAAAAAACGTTTGGGAATCCCCCAAATAAACAACAACCAATCCTAACCAAACTATTACTTTTCAAAAAACTATTATTTTTTACCATTTCCAACATTATTATGGCAACAAAGTGCTGAACCACAACAACTCCAGAGAGTTGTTTTTATGTGTCCATTACCTTCATTGGCTTCATTGCAGAGCCACAGTCTGACTGTGGAGTCGGATGCTGAGGAGGCCACCAGGATCCTTGAGTCCTCCACATAGATGGCATCCACAGCACAAACCGGACCAGTGTGGCCCTTGCACTCCACTAACTGGACAAACTGGAAACAACAGAGGGCCTTTCAGAAGATAGAAAACGACAGATAAAAACACCGTCTGATGAAACAGGTGACCTACCTTTCCATTTTGAGCCTCCCAGACGATGAGACGATTGTCTGAGCCTCCTGAGACCAGATGCCTCTCTGGAGCTGCCGCATCAATAACACCACAGTTATTAAGTAAAGATAACACTTCATGGCTAAAGTATCTTTTGCACACCTTCGGACTGTGGCTGTTATTCATGTCACTTAGTTACATTTTAGGTCAATATTAAATGCAACAGCAAACAATGGTATTTTAAGAGAATAGCGTAACTTCCAACGATTTGACAGAGAAGGCTTTCTGTTAGGGTGTCCATGCACTTTAGACACTATAGTGTATATTCACTAAGGCTCACGGGTGACATGTAAGCAAAGGAGCTTTTACACAAACTGTTTTAAAAAACAATGAAGAAGATCAGCTGAAGACAAACGTTGCCCACATTGTGATTCAATTTTAGTGCTTAGACCACATTAAAGTAAGTCTTGATTTTAAAAAGTCTGTCTTCTACTTGAACACACGTTGCTGTACATTTGTTGTGGTGGCAAATCAAACGGAGACACATACATCCAGATCCAGCTGTTAGGACACTCACCACAGTCCTCTCTGTGAACCCACTGGACTGTATTCACTCTTCCTGTGTGTCCGTTCAGCACAGCAACAACTCCCCTTCCCTGAGATAAAAAAAAACAAATAGTATGTTTACTGAGGCTGCGAACAAGAAGGTAGACGTTTGTATACAACTACAGGATGCTCGGTTATCGTTGGCTGTGACAGTTGACAGTGAAAGCTAACTTTACAGGTGCATTTCGGAAGACTTTACTACCTGTGGGTCGTACAGAGCTACAGAGGTACATGTCCCAAAGGCAATGATCCCGCCACGACCCCAAGAAACAACATTTGGAGTCCTGTTTGCACAACAAGCTACATGGCATGTTTCAATCACGGGCGCCGCCATTTTAAAAGCTGTAATTGTGGTGTTACTTTAAATGACGCTGTAGATAAACCGACCCCTACGAACAAAGGTTCCGCGTACAAATCTCCACAGCGTGGCAATAGATTTTAATCGTGAATTGTATTGTGAAAGAAAAAAATTCACAAACTAAAACTTATCAAATTATCTTTATTATGTCAAGGTATTGTAAACAAATTGGTTTAAATGTCGGCGATAAGCAAACGTTAAAGCGTCTGAACTCACTAATGTGCACTGTTGAGGAATGTCCACTAGATGGTGGACGTCAATCACAAAATCCAGAGAGGCTACTCAAAAATATAAAATGGTTAGAGAGGTTGTTCATTTCTTGCTTATGAATGTTTTACTTACCTTATAGTTTAACTTATTTATGAACATAACTGCCCAGTGGAATCAACCAAAGCACATTACAGTATTAAAGATGATTTTATATTTTTTAGATTTAATGTAAAAGGTTTTTTTTCTTTATCCTCCCACAGAGAGTCAAAGGCCAGAACAAAACAGAGCTGGTGGGGATTAAGTGCCTTGTTTAGAGAGATTTGGATAAATGCTTGAGGATTTGAGCGTTGGTTTTCTGGCTGAATGTTGGTCTCCACATTCATTAAGCCACTCTGCTGCATCTGTCAAGTGTCTGTAAACGTCACTGAAGACAGCCCAGACATTTATTGAACAATATGCAAATCAGAAAAGGAAGTGCTTGGTCTATCTTCCAGTTTATGTGTCATTCGTAGAGTATTCAAGGGTCTAGCAACATAATTCAAGTATTCAATACCAAAGTCAAATGTTAAACACTTTATCCAGTCATATTTGTTTTTGCCTTGGTCTAAGTAAGGAGAGAACCAGATAAAATATTCTGCATATAAACCAAATGGCTGATGACATTTTGCATGATTTGGAAATTGCTCCATCAACAATCAAGATGCCACAATAATCTATTAAAACACTGCCGTGTCGGACTGTATTATCCCCTTGCCAATAGTGACTGAGGGTGACAGGTCGCAGCTGAGCTAGCCGCCAGCCAGACGGCCTTGCTTGTTAAAAAAAGCCCTTGGGCCTTATGGATTTCAAAGGTCCAGGCGACAGTTTGGTCACAAGGTGCCCATTTGACAAGATCAGGGAGGAAATGTGATGGCATCTGTGAACCCATGAGACGATTTGATAAATGACAATGTAGAAAAGAAAGCGAGGGTAGAGCCTTTTATGAAGTGAGAATGGGAAGGAGGGGAGGCTGGGTCTTTTTTGGCTGGCCTCTGGCTATGCTGTCTTGTGGTATATGTGCGTGGCAAAGACAAAATAGACGCACTGTCACCAACACTTGGGGAGGAAATAGATTGTGTTCGTCTTGCTATTGTTGTCCCTCCTCAATCATTAAATGGGACACAGGATTTAGACGGACTTGGCAGGGTGAGACAACCTCTCTGTGCAGGATACCCATGCATCTATGGCTCTCATCTCAGGAGTGGCAGCTAGGTGATAGCTGGGATGTAGCCAAACAGCTGCGTCTCTGAAAAAACATCTCTATTATCTCTGTACTGCTGCATTTATCTTGCTCTTGCGATGAAATCTCTGTTCTTGTTTACACAATGCAGGATTAGTTTGAGTAAATGTAATAAGTCATTGCAGGACACAAGAAGATCCTATCCTATGTTCCAATATTTTGACAAAAGAGTACAATATTACACCTTTATGTGAGATGTTTTATGAACATGTCCTTGCATCAGTGAACTGATCAGTGGTTACAGGGTCATCCATGGAAAGTGCTTTGATTAAGCCTGTGGATACACTCTACATCAGCTATGATGCAGACATTATATGACTAATTGAGAAGTTGAAAAAAAACGAATTAGTGTATTACAGGGAGGTCAAATGCTTGACATGTATACAGTGGAGTCATAGTAGTGATTTATGATGAGTAATTGGCCTGCAACATCTGTGTCTGTGTGAGAGAACTGTGTGTCTGGGTTTTTTAATTTTGTCTGGCCCTCTTTCTGTCACAAACGTCATGTTAATTTGAATATATGACTTGCCTTTAATTGTATAAGAGAGTAGAGGGAAGTTGAACTTCAGAAAGTGTGATATAAGTCTAATGAATTTCCATTTATCTTATCTTTATCGCTATATTTTATTTAGTGACCATATGATCCTGACCCTGAGTAACTCTGTCCTATAAGGCATGAAAGAGGATCTCCATCTCACTGCTGTATGAATCAAGAATTTATGAAAGCAGAAAATGAAATGTTTGACATTGTACATAATACCCTTAAATGTTTTATTCATTAATGTCATTGCGCCACATGTCGCCACCGAGTGCTCAGTTACTCAATATGCCCGAGGAGCTCTGAAGCCTGGATAGTAATTGATGGAATAACTATAAATGAACTTCATACTTGAGGGGTTGAGGGATGATAAAGGGACCCTCTGTTTTTCTATTCATTCTAAAATATTCTAGGGGAATTTAAAGTGTCTTTCATTTGCTCACACACAAATAACAAGGATATTTTGACATCTCAGGTAACAACAGTATTTGTTTTTAACTGTGTATACGTTCTCTTTTTATTCTTTTTCTTTCAGCGAAAGGTGAGGTGTTTAAAAAAAAGATGTATCTTGGTGATTGAGTATAATGTAAGATGTCTGCAATTATGTAACAGGAATGAAGATTCAGAAATGCCAAGACTATTAGGATGGGTGTCTGCTATGTACCACTTTGCTGCGGCCTTGTTTTGTTTACGTTTAATCAAATTAGCGATGACCCTGAGGATTTGGCAGGAGGCGAGCCGTACATGACAGACAGATGATCCTTATTAGCACTGCTGCTTTGGTTATATGAACATATTAAAATGTGTCTAATTCTGTGGTGTCTATAATTTGCACTGCAAGCAGTGTAATTCTTCCTGGCTGGAGTCTGTACGAACATAAACACCAATAAGACAGCCAGGATTAAACCGATTAAACTCATCTAACATTTAAACAACCTCTGAAGCTGTAAACTGTAAACACACTCGGGGTCAGTCAGTAAAAACAGTGTACAGCCAACTAAATATTCAACCAGGGCACCTCACCTCAGTTTGACCTCCTCTCTTTCAGAGGGGCCTCTCCAGGCACTGTGTCATTGTAAGTGAGTGAGTTCAGCTGCAGGTCTGTGTCAAAGCTACGCTAGCCTGAAGTGCAAGTATTTCTTTTAAACTAGTTAATTTGACCTGTAAGCTCAAGTTTACCCGGAGGCTCATGTTTATGTGTGAAATATGGTGTTATAGATACAACACATGAGGCGTTATTCGACCAAATACAAAACACAATCTTCTCAAAAACAAATATGAAGAGGGCCATAATCAAGAACAGTGTTTATAAGTATACTCGGGAGAGAGATACATTTTCTTACATTTTAGAATGCAGGGGGGGGGAAATCCTTGAATATTCAACCACAGTCCTTGCTTTGAATTCCAAATTTCAATCTATGTATCCAACAGGGGAGTATGACTGAGTGCACCACAATCACAGTCAGTGTACAGCTAGAAGGAATGATCCAGAGAGAGAGGAGAAGTCAGCACTTGTAAAGCACAAGAGAGAGAGAGAGAGAGAGAGAGAGAGAGAGAGAGAGAGAGAGAGAAGCAGCTGTTAGCAACACAATCACACTATGCATAAGCATCTTTTATTTAATGAGTAATACCCTTGGACTGTGCAGATGAGAATACACAAAAAGGACGTCCTGCTTGTATGGGTTTCAGGCAAATTGTCAAAATGCAATCTGCCTAGAAGAGATTAGAGGCAGAGGAGCAAATATTGAATATTCCAGTACAAATTAGATACAGAAGTTAGAAAAACAAGCCTGTTTCACAGTTAGTTAGTTATGGCACGGACAAACTCAGTGACAATATGCACACTGTTGTGTTTGTTTGAGCTTGTGGATTGAAAGCAATTTGTGGGATGTGTCGTATTTCTTATCTTATTTTGCTTCTTGAACTTATCTGCTGAGACTAGAATGATTTAAACCAGCATATGTTGATACAGCACAATGCAAGTAGCCCGAGAGGAGTTCGTTATCATCGAATCGCTTGGAACAAAGCCTCAGAGAAGATTAACAAAAAACATATAGATATTATCTACTTAGTAGTAGAGCCATTCCTCAAAGTGGAACACAGCCCTGTCCGCACATAGCAGCCAAACTGCTTGCATGCCTTCATAATGATGCAGTGTGTGTGTGTGTGTGTGTGTGTGTGTGTGTGTGTGTGTGTGTGTGGAGTGAAACCTATGTAAACAGGGAGGGTTAAACTAAAGCATAGCTCTGGGGTTTTAAATAAATACTGGCTGAGCCTGAGAGCGGCAGACAGCCTTAACACACACACACACACACACACACATACGACTATTGTCTCTTCTGCTGACACAGAGTGTGAGCCAGCCACGATAGTTGATGATAAAGCAGGCAAAAGCCCCTCACTAACAGCGCCACAGTGCTTATAAGCCATATCTGCTCTCAGTCAGCTGGTGTGTTTGTAATATGAAGTGTTACTCACCACTTGTCATCCAGTGGCTGTACTTGTTAGAAAAGTTAGAAATAGCTACTGCAGCCACTTGAGAATACAGATAATTTGGCAAATAGTTTGGTCAGGCTCTGATCCAGATGGCCATAAAGCATTCTGAGTTCTATTGTGGATACAAGTCACTGGGTCACAAAATAAGAAGAGGAACAATGTGTCTCCAGGGTAAAACGTTCTTCTTTTGGAGTGTGAGAGCAAGATTTAAAGAACCTCAAATGCAGACAAATAACACACATTGATGATAGTTAACAACAGTATATGCAGAACTTGTGGACCTTAAACTGGGCAGGGGATGCTAGATAGTCTCGTCCCCTTGCACAATAAAATCATTCCATCTAGAAATAACATCCATATGAGTCATCGTAACCTCCAAGTCAGTCAGTTCGTTGAACATGAGATGTCATCCTGCCATTTCTCTCAGGAACAAATCATTTTAAGTAAAAATAAACCTGGTTGCAACTCTATCATGCATCAACTTGTCTTTTTATTACCTTCAGATGCACATTGGGAAAATAGTATAGTGGAAATTAGGTGTGTTGACTTATGGGTAAAATATAAGAGATGGGATCTTTACCCCGTGTACCTTATCTTTCATCTCATCCTTCTGCTTATATGGTATGAAAAAGAAATACAATTTGGAAGGGAAAAGAAAGACATCTATGTCCACCAATCCACAACTCAAGCACACATCTCTAATTGAAATGATGGGTTTTATTGATGGGTTCATGCCAAGCTTTTGTAAACAGCTTTTCAGCACTTGTCATCTATTCAAAAGATATCTGCAGAGGATGAGTCTCTTTATTCTGAGCAGAAAACAATTCCAGCCAGATCTTCATTTTCTATTTGTTTTACAAGTACTTGTGCACATGACAGAACCAAGGCAGTAGGCAAGACCACGGTCCTGATATAACTATATTTAAAAATAAACATCACCCTACATCGAACACACCAGAAGCCTGAAATAGCCTGAGGCAGACTGCCAGTGTAAAGAGGGTCGGCCAGTCTTCAATGCAAAGGCTGGCCGACCCTCTTTACACTCTGCTGACGTTCTGTGGCCCACACAGTGACCTGTCACCATGCAGGACTCAAGAGACGCAACTGTGTTTTAGCATAACTACATTTCAATCGCTCACCGTCAGCATTGGTTGTTGTAAATTGTTAATTGATCTGATTTACTTTGATTGGTTCAGTCGGATCGCTAAATAAGCATACTGTCAAACTGCTGGTGATAGAGTTGGTGATAGAATAAATACAGTGGAGAAATAAGCCAGTGGCAAGAATTCTGGTCACAATATGAAACAGCTATCCACCACAACGACACACTGTGTAAAAGGGAAAAGTTCACTTACCTGAGATCCTATCTGACTGGAGCTGCTGCAAAATCTGTGGCAGGACTAACTATGACGGATGATAATTATGATGCCGCAGTACAACTGCTTCAGAGCCGTTTTGGAAGAAAGGACATTGTAATAAGTGCACATATGTCCAGACTGCTAAACTTGGCTCCCGTGAAAAGATCATCAGATGTTGTAGCTCTCAGGCACCTGTACGATGAATGTGACCAGGGTCCAGATATAACGATGATCCATAGAAACACTGTCCTAATGTACGCCGGACACACAGCAGACAACATTCTAATTTATTCCAGAACATGCATGTTCCATCCAGCATTCCATTCCATTCTCAATTGCATTTTATGAATTATTTTCTGAATTATTTTCTGAATTCACTATTTGCTAGTTCAGCGATCACCATGTTTTCCATGGCACAGTTTTCACAAAACTCCACACATTATGACCCATTTACAGTAATGAAATAACATCGTATATATAAAAAAAAAAATTGCATACATGCAACAAGTCACAACAAAAGTTTAAGCTGTTGCAAGTAACTCCACAAATTATCCTTTTAACATTGTTAAGCTGTCTATGTTTGCAAATTCATATTCAAATGCTAAAATAGTGCATCCCGTGTTCTGTATGGTAACATCAAAACAACAAGACCTGCTCTATTTTGACATTTGTTCGAGATTTTACTGATTTCTACCAGAACTGAAATCATAAATATACCTTTTAGAACCACTTTAGTCATTTTAAGGGCCCTCTTCATGGTTTTGGATCCTGGGTAACCATACAGCGCCATTATGTGAATGAAAATGCTTTCTTCAGACACTCAAACGGTAAAGTCTCTAACTTTTTAAGATAGGCACTGTATTCCACTCAGTGCAGCTGTCCCATGTGGCTTGGTGCAGCCGGGTTTGATTGGCATATCTGGTGTGTATTTTGAGAGGATGATAAGGGATTCTCAGACTCTAGGGGATAATGTGGGATTTTTTTTGTTTTAGGGATCAAACCAGAGCTGTGCAGTGAGGAAAGCGTTGCTCTTCTCTCTGGAGGGCACCGGATTGCAAAGTCCTCTGAAATCTACATGAATGGATAGCTGGATTATGAATTTTCAAATCTAAAACTAAACATCCTCTGAAATTTGCATGACTGGTTGATGCATTTTTAAATCAAAAAGTCCTATATGATATTAAATCTTCCCTTTTCTGTGCACACTATAGCCGAACAGATAGATGCACAGCACTACTGATATACTACTACTTATATTTTCCATTACTTATATCCAAATCTGATAGTGTTTTGCCTCGTATAGCTGTTACCTAACTGCTGTTGGTGAGTGAGCAGACGGATTAAAAATCAAAATGATCATCCCGATTCTCAGCAAAATGTTGAACTGCACTTTGGACAGCCTCGAGTTGCACACGAGCAGCCAGCAGCAGTGAAAACGATGTGTGTGCTGTGGTGCGTGTGTGTGTGTGTGGTTGCCCACGGTGGTGTGCTGCAGTCTGCTCCCTGCTGTTGTTGAGTAAACTACATGGACATTAACGGCTTCAGCGGCACAACCACCGAGCCAGAGTGGATTAGAACAGCGTGCGTGCGCGGAGAGCCACTCGATAAACGACTGTGTGACCAATTCAGAAATATCGGCGTGCAATAGCAAGTCCGGTACACCAGCTTGCAAGCTGCGAAACAGCAAGGGAAAGGCTCTTAGTAAACTCAGTATAGTGCCGTGCATTGTGTGTGTGTGTGTGTGTGTGTGTGAGAGAGAGGTTGTGTGTGTGTCAGGCAGGGAGAGCTCGGCGGGAATGGCTTCATCTCCGTGCGGCAACAGTAACTTTGATTCCGGTCTGGAAATCAAAACTCGCTCGGTGGAGCAGACGCTTGTTCCTTTAGTGTCGCAGGTGAGTAACGTTACTCTATGCACGTACAACGCGTTTGTTTTTTGTTTTACCGGATCCCCCCCGAGGCCTGCTTTAAAAGGTACTTTGGCTTCACGACAACTGCAGTGTTCGCACTCATGAGGCTAACTTTGATTCTCGTGTGTACCTGTTTGTACACGGAGACTGCATGTTTTCACCTCGTGCTGTGCTTAAAGACTGTCCCACGTGCGGTTGAATTTACTATAGGTTATTGCATTGCGCTACCGCCTTTGATGTTGTCGATAATGAGACATTTATTACAGCCTACTACTATGTCGTTACAAGTTTTTGCACGCAGCAAAGTCATACGAACACAAAACGTTTAACATGTAAGATAAGAATTGGACGAAAGACAGGTTTTTGTTGTTGTTAGGCAGAAGTTGGTACGCTATTTAATTACATAACAGGCTACACTGTACTGTAAAAGGGGAAAGTAAAAATGGGAGCAATTAAAGCAATGATCAGCCATCCAAAAAACAATTAAATTCACTGTGATATTAATCCCTTTTTGTTGTTGCTGGAGCTCACCAGGAACTCTCCTGGTAGTCAGCAGACTCCACTTCGAGGAAATACTGTTGTTGAAGAGGGTTTAACAGTTTTCCCAGAAGTTGCTTGCTGTCCTTCACCAGTTCAGTGTTGGGCTACTGTGACTTCCACTTCTCTAATTGTGCTACTTTGAGGCACGTGTTTAGTTTTTCAATAAACAGAAGTAGAAGAAAGGCCCGCTTAAAGCCAACTGCACTCACTCAGCAACTCTTCTCTTGCACACTCGAAACAGTAGCCCCGGCTTTAAAGCATGGAGTTCAGGTCAATGAGTCAATTAATCATTTTATTGTAAAGTGCTGCAAAGTTGGCTAGGCCGCAAACTCCAAGGCTGTTTTGTAAAGGTTTGTTCAGCATTAATGTCGTTTTAGTCTGTTAATTTCCAGCAGATGATTGATTTTGCAAAGCTTTATAGCTTTTGAACTGTTTTCCACTGTTGTTTCCTGGGAGGTGGGGGCGTCTCCTGAATAGGGGAGTGACCACCAGTCTTATACATGCTAATATCCCCTTCTTGTCCATGATGGTAAAGAGCAAGAGGCCTGTAAATGTCCTGTTGTTTGCCTCACTGGTGGTTTAACGGAGTCTGCACAACACTGTCCTTCCCGCTGTGAACACTGAAAGCCTGCTCCCTCCCTCTCAGTGCACAGAACGATATACGGTCATCCTGTACTGAATGAAAATGGGTTGGTTGTTAAAAAAAAGGGCTCCTGTGAGGGGATGTGGTCTCTGTTTATGTGGTTCATTTTAGTTTTCACGCATTCATAAGTACACCAAAAAGAAAGTGTATGAGTTTGGTTATACATAATGAGAAATCAAGGGTAAATTCAGGTATGGTTATAGCTGTGATGCCAATTGTAATTACTGTAAGTTTATTTACAGTAAGCACTGATGTAATATTGTGCAAAAGCATTAAGTACATTTGCTGTACTCTGCGTTATCTTAATAATATGTATGTTGCAGCAAACTTATGATGCACTCCTGCCCGGGGAGAAAGACCTGCTGATCTCCGGTCTGTAGTATAGAATAATGTGCTATATGCTGACGGCATTCAGCATGTAACAGTCCGCTGTGTTGAATAGTGGGCCTCAAGGACAATCTTTCCTAACTTTCTTTATTTCTCACTGTGAGGCCTGTCCCCATAGCAACAAAGCTCTGCAATGCTGAATGAAGCAACATTTCCAAGGACTGTTATCTCCACATGTAATGTCTTGTTGTTGTGATGTCATCTGGAGGAAGGTCACTCAGCAGGTACTGACCGGTACATTAGTTTCACCTGCTGTGAGTGCTTTTCATCCAGTGTGGTCACATGCACACAAATTGCTGCATATATGCACAAAACATCTTCCTAGAGCTGGAAAGATGAATCAATCAGTCGACTCATAGATACAGCAACAATTTGTGATAATCATGTTTTTGCAAGCAGAGATGTAAATATGTACTGTTTCTCTGTCTTCTATAATATTGAAATGAATAACTGGTGGTTCGAAAACAAAAACATTTTGCCATGACGAGTTCCGGGAGCTTGTGATGGGCATTAGTGATGGAATTTTTAAGCTTTGATAGAACAAACAATTAATTGCCTAATGGAGGAAATTATCTGTGGATTCATTGATAATCAAAATAATCGATAGTTGCGCAACATGTTTCATGATAACGTGATTTCCCCATTTACTCTTTTCACGATTTTACACGAAAATAATGTAAATGACTAGTGTTGGGTTAATGTCCAGAAATAGGTGTGGTATCCTGTCTAATAGGAAATAGGAATATAACAGGAAAATGAAGGGACCGTGCAGCTATTTAATGTTTCTTGCATTGGTAGGGCGGCTGAGGCATATACACAGAATCAAAATGCCAAAAGAAATCTGTCTAACTTGTGTATGTACATCATACACAACAGTATGATACATCATACACAGTGCATGTACAGTCATCAGAAAAACTGATATTCAAGCCGGCTGTGGTACTCTGATTAGCCTTAATGTGAGTAAGATAACTCAGTTAAGGGCTTTACGTGACGGTTCTGAGAATGAGTATTGCCTTATATGGGTTATCATTGAATCATTATAGTCAGTGTAAACGTACTGTGGGGGCTGGTTTGTGTGGCTTTTCTTTTAAAGCAGCTTTGTATGAATGTGTGTGTTTGTGTGTGTGTGTGTGTGTGTGTGTGTGTGTGTATGCGTGCCCATGTGTTTTAGGGATCATTAGATGACTATGAAGGAGGAAATGAAAAAGCAGTGTCAGTGAGAAAAGCCAGTGTTTGATAAGGTATCATGTTGCGCACTATCTCCCTTTTAAAAATTGTATTACGTATCTCTCCTCTCCTTTCATGACGTTGATATCCTCAGGCCTCTGTTATCAGCTTCACTCCCACCAGGCTGTAATCATAGGGCTGGGAGTCTTGCGGCCTTGCACTATACGTACACACACACAAGCAGTTTTTTTTGACAGTGAGTGTGAATGTGGACTTCATTCCTAACGTTAGTGCTCATCAGAGTTCTTCCAAAAGATGTCTGAATGTCTCTCAGTCCTATTTTTGTAATGTGGCCACCTGGATGTTTTCTATCTGCATCCCCTATCAATTTGACCATCATCCACTTCATCCTTTTCAAAACAGAAGAGGCCCTTACTTGATTTGACAGAAGCAGTCTCCTGATCTTGGGATTCACTAATGTTGTTCACCTTTTTCCGCTACAGTCATCTCTATACCAATGTGTACTTGCATTGCGAGGGGCATGGCGAGGGTAATGAATTGCTCTTGTGGTGGTTCCAAAAATGTAATGGGTATCACACGGAGAGAAGGGAAACTACATGAATGTGCCTGCTGTTGTTTGTGTGTCCTACCTGTGATGTGCTCTGCAGCCAGCTGGAAGGCAATTAGCGGTAATCTGGCCGCTTTTTCCTTGAGATCCAATTCCTGTTTTTAAGTGGTGATTAGTGAAATAACAGCTCTGTTCTTGGGTTTTTATAATTGAGGCGTGTTCCTAGTAAAAACACACCGGCCTACGTCTCGGTGCGGGCATGGTGGTCCTCCAGCTGACGAGGTGTAAAGGTGTTGTTTTGAGGTAAAGATGTGTAGGAACAAAAAAAGGGCAAGGAAGTAATATCTGAGTCTTTGATCAGGTGAACATTTAAACACTTGTGACACACTGGCCTTGTGATTACATAGCTATGCCGGCTCCATAATTTCTTTGCAGGGCTAAGCCAGGAGTTTCTTAAAAGATTTTCAACTATAATTGGGCCTGGAAAATCTGTTCTCTGTCCAATATTGTTAGTGTCAACTTTGCCTTGCTGCCAGGGTTTCTGTAGTGCTTCCTCAGTGGTAAGTTTTAGGATGTGATTTGCTCAGAGGATTAGCATTTTGCCGCATAAATTCCGCTTCAAATAAAACGCTGACAAAAATGCTCTTCATAAACATGCTCCTCACTTAAAAGCTCTGTAAGCACAACCATCAGTCAAATGTTCATCTGTCTTTCTGAAAATATGGGAAATGCAATTTTTATTGAGGCACAGGGCACAATTTCCCTCATAATGTTCCTGGTTCTGTGGAGGGGTGACATGACAAACGTCCAGGTAGTGAAGTTGTTTTATATCAGGACAGAGAGGCATTACTGGTGCCACAAGCCCGAACAGATCTGCTTCCTAGCTGTATGACGGTAATGAAGACAAATGGGTCCCTGGCATGAAGGTGAAACCACCTGAGGATTACAGTATGCGTGTGGATACACACCCACAGACCAAAATATACTAGCCTCCTGGGAATGATACAAAATAAGCCCTTATTGTGTGTGAGAAGGGTGGGGGATTCCAGTGTGGTTCGTGTGTCTTTGTATCTGGTATGTGGAATTGTTTGTTCATGGACGACAGGAACTAAATGAACTTGTGGTGCCGCTGTTTGAGGTTTCATGTGTATGCGCCTGTATTTTCTGTGTGCTGTGTGTTGCTGCCACCATGACCATGTCACCTTCACAACAACGTGTCTGATAACACACATTCAGCGCAAGTCATATCGTCACCACAAGGCCACAATTTTTCCTGTTTACCCATTATGAGTGGACGATTTTAAGGAATGGCCCGTGTATACACTAACACTCATTATTCAGCCTATACAGTTATCTTTCTTCTTTGATTTAGAGACTGGCAGAGCATTTTTGTTTTCGTTTTCCCCCGGTTCAAACAAAGTATGAATCACAGTGAGCCTGACTCGCACTATTGTTGTATAAATGAGGATCTAAGGCAAGCTCTTGCTCGGTGGTAGGTAGTATATACAGGCAATAAACAACCCTGTGTCATCAAACTGAAATGAGATATAATTTCAGTCAACTCCCCCCTGTTTTCTAGTAAAGTGGTTGCATTAGTCAGCTGACTTTGTCAGTTTTGAGAATTCAGATTCTCTATTGTCATAATTACCCTCACTCCCATAATCCTCCCACTCTCAC